ACACTCAATATTAATAAACGGTTCTTACATATTAATTTTCACTTGTAATACTCACATCTTTTTTGGCACTGGCTATTTCTTCTCTAACGCTTCGAACTTTATCAACATGCCTCGACGTCTTCTTGGTTAGATCTTCAAATTTGTTTTTATACCACGAATCCATTTCCTAACAGTGGAGAATGATAACGTTACAGAAGACTCAACTGTGTACTTTTCATCATCTGGAAGCGGTTTTGTGTGATATTTTTGTACCTGGAGATTTTTGGCTGCGATATCGTCATACTGGGTTTGAATTTGTTTCAAAGCAGCAGCCAAGTCGGGCAGAGTGAACGCACTCTGGGCTGAGACGTGAGCGGCGTAGATCTGTTTCATGAGTTCATCAATTTCCTAAAACAAAAAAAAAAGAGAGGCCTTTAGGAATCATTAAAAATAAAAGGCAAACTTGGAATAGCTAATTCCTACGTAAAGATGTCACCCACCTGCTGATGGATTCGTTTAAGGAATTCAATTTCAACCTCTAACTGCTCCAGCTTCTTCTCCAAGGCAATGCGGGAGGAGGTGGCTTTGTCCACATCCTGAAAAATAAACAGAAGTGTTATCATGTATGTCTGCCCCTGAGAAATAATGTGTAGGCGACATTCACACCCAGGACAGTGGCTAATTTAATGTCACTCACTGGACGGAAGGCCTCAATGTCTAACTCGGCTTTCTTCCTCAGCTCCACCGCCTCCTCATATTTGACTTTGATTGCCTTTAGTTGAGCAGCTGCAGACTCTTTGGACGCCAAGGAAATGTCCTGAAAACCAAGAAAGCATAAGTAACACGCCTGTCTGCTAGATTTGAAGGTGAACACAAGGGTGTGCGCAAAATCTAGCTGAGCCTTTTGCATTTTATATTTCAGCTTCATTCTTGTGTGTGTGCCTTCCAGCGCATTATCAAGTCATTTCATCTGTGCATAAAACACATCTGACAACAGCTATAGTCTGACACCCAAATACGGTCAGGATCCCCCTCAAATTGCCTGCCAGAAATGAGCTTGTTACCAGGTAAAGAACTTTGAAAACACCAAGTTGACGTCTTGTATCGTTGTTTGGGTGGATCTTCTACAGATCAGTGAGGTGTAAACTTAATGCCCTCTTGAGTGTCTAAGCAAAGGAAGAGCAGAGGCAGAATCCGGGAGATTTCTCGTCTCACCCTCTGAACTCTCATTTGTTCAGCAATCTTCTTCAGCTCTTTCAGCTGTTCCTCATAGAGCAGGCGCAGACCCACAGGCTTCTCAAACCGGTTCTGATAGGCCTCAATCTCAGTTTCCAGTAGCTTGTTCTGCTGCTCGAGCGATCGCACCTGTAAGGACACGAAAACTCAGTCTAAACCACACTCCACAAGATGAGAATTACTCCTCTGCAACATGTTTGAGTTCAGTGTGATATCTGCTTTTCGCTGCGCCTATCAAAATAAGTAAAATCGAGTTGAAAAAGGTTGTTTCACCTTGTCGATGTATACGGCGAGTCTGTCGTTGAGAACGATCATCTCCTGTCTTTCGCTTGTCCGGGTGCTGAGGAATTCCTGGTTTTCAGCTGAAGCCACATCCAGGTCTATGGCAGGCTCTCCGCTCGGCCCAACGCACACCATGGCGCCTGCACTCACACTGAAATGACTGATACAAGTTAACCTACAGCCACAGGCACCAAAATATGTTCCTTTAAGTGATTAAAATTATTCCTAAAGACAGCCTGTAGAAGAAGAATTTATTTTCGCGGCTTCGCCTGTAAAACAAAAATCCAATGGCTTACCCTGCTCCTACCATGCGAGACCTGCGTGCTGCAGACATGGTCCTTCGTCCCACTGAGTCCACACGCATGCTGCTGGCCCCGGCTCTAGAGGAGAAGCAGCCGGTGGAGGCACGACGGGCCTCTCTCCTGGTGGGGGATGGGCTCGACACCCTGATCTGGTAGGACGAGCTGCTGCTGTCCTCAAAGTGACGGCGGTAGGACGAGATCCTCTCTGGGCTGAAGCTCATGGCAGCGGTTTCTATGTGGCTTTGGTTCTGTGAAGGGAAACAGTCAGTGGTTTGCTGCACTTTACTGCTCCTGAACCTTCCTTTGTTGCACTCTCTGGTTGTCAGCACAGTCTGAGGTTTTATACTCCCCATTGACAGTCATGCTCCTGCTCTGTTCAAAACAGCCCAGGTCATGAGCCGACGCATGCGGAATCTTGAACCTCCGTACTAAAGCAGGCTTGACCTGCCTCTCAGATATGTATCAGCAGCTTGTGAGAAGCAGAAATGGGCTGGGATCATGGCTGTGGGCACAAGTCTCTCAGACTCCTTATTTTATCCAAATCATAATGGGTTTTTGCCTGGGTTACAACACATCCACCACCTTAATGTCCGGCATCAGAGGACAAGCAGGGAGACAGGCAGGCAGGCAATGAGGCAGGGTCCAGTAAGTCATTGCAGCCAGTAGGTGCATCTCTGATGTGATGTGCTCTGATGGGACGAGGGACTTTAATTGAATGCTGAGCAGAAGCTAGAGGGTGACCTGATGAGGCTGTGGCTGCAGAGGAACAAAAGAGCGCTGGCAAGATTTTGACGTAAATTAGTACTTATTAGTCTGCTCTGTTTTCAACATATTAAAACTGGAGTATGCAGAAAAAAGAAAATGGAATTAACTGCTTCAGCGGGAAGATGAGGAAGCGGAAGAAAAGGAGGGGGGAGATTACAGTCTGGAGTTTACGGATGACATGACACAGTGATAAAAGGGCATAAATGCCAGTCAGCCCTGTTCATGGTTTACATTGACACCTACAGAATCACATGGGCAGGGGTTGGACGATATTACAATGAGCTCAATTATAAAAAAGAAGGTACTACAGCAACATGGTAAACCACAAAAAAACTTAAAATATGCATAAAGCCGATGTTGGTTTAGTCCGCTTAGAACATTAAAATCCAACTTATGAGATGATTTATTCACAGTTCCATGTGAAAACTTGCCGTGATGGATTAAGTGAGCATCTATTCTCTCCTACTGACCTCACATCTTGCAGCCGCATGGGACTTTTGGGAAGAGCCGGAATATTTCAGTCATGTGAATAGTCATCTCTCTACTAAGCTGCTTGTTTCACCTTCCACCAACCGTTGTTCACTATGATGATGCTTTCTGTTACAGTATTTATAAAACCTCACTTCATTTACTAAGACCACAAACTCTTATACATCATTGTGTGGTATTATAACTTTTTTTTGCCTGATACTCATTTAAATATTTAATTATTACTTATTAAAATGGATGATAATATTGAACTAAAAATGCTTTTGTTATTATCATTATTATTATTGGTGTTAAATGACAAATACCAGATAATTATATTATATTTAGAGGGTGGTGGCATTTGCTATGAAAGACGCCCTTGTGGCAGCAGAGAACGTTCAGCAAACTGATTGAATAAATGTATTATTTAATAATAAATTTAGTTAATAAATAAAGTTAAGACTGCTTTAAGATACTCCTTTACTAGATGGAGTATCTCAAGGTAGTGGTTTTCTGTATGACATTATCAGTCCGTCAAATGTCAAACAGATGGCCTTATATTTGACTCTACAGTACTTTGGTATACAGAGTTCATTGTCAACTGAGTGACTGTAAGGTACCCAGGTCCTGTAGCTGCAAAACAAGCCCAGATCATCACCCATCCACCACCATGCTGGCAGCATGTTTGAGGTGTTTGTGTTGATATATTGTGTTTAGTTTTTACAAAATGTAGCACGGAGCATTATAGCCAAACATCTCCATGTTGGTGTTATCTGTTCAATGGACATTGTTCCAGAAATCTTGTGGTTTCTTCAGATGTAACTTTGTAAACATAATCTTCCATGTTCTTTCTCCTGGCAACCACTGCAAGCAAGCCATACTGGTCTGTGTTTTTCTAACTGTCATGAACTTTAACATGCTAACTGAGCCTGTAGAGTCTGAGATGTTACCCTTGGGTTTTTTGCAGTTTTTGAGCGCAGTCTGACCTTGGGGTGGGGATTTGCTAGGATGTCCACTCCTGGAAAGCTTGTGGTATTGAATGCTCCAGACCAGCAAACTGCCAAAACGTCTCTTTTGATGGAGATGTTCACACATGCTGATGATCATTTGATCAAGTGCAATTACCAGTAACCATATGGATGTACATAGTTTTTCACAGAGCTATTAAGTCCTGTGAAAACTTAATTTTTTACAACGTTGTGTAAAGATTATTCTGTCTTGAATACCATGCAAAGCTTTGCTGTCAATTAATAGAATCTTTCACAAATTCTTGACAAATTTACCAATGGAACTGCTCATACAATATATATGCATCAATATATGGTATTAAATATGTTTAAGTGTTCATAAAACTATTTTTTCATAAATATTTCTTAAATATTTTCTTATTTATTTAAAAACTGTATCAGAGAGGGGAAAACTCTAAAACAATCAAAATTTTATATTTATATAGATGTAAATCTTAAGTAAATATATTATTGCATCACAAAATTTTCTGATTCTCAAAAACTGTTTATTTTTATATACAAGTCATTACTGTCAACACCAAGCTCAAATATAAAAGAAACAAAAATCCCTGTAAAGTGCTGAGGTGATACAACAATGTCAGGTATGTTTTAAAGCTATCAATTATGTCCCCAAAGAAAACCAATAAACACTTCTAGATAATTTACTAACGCATCTGAAAAGTCACCTAGAGGCCAGTTTCCTGTCACTCACAATGATTAAGCTGAATTTTAGGATAAACTAAAGTAACTTAAAACAATATTGTCCAAATTAAACAAGACAGTGAGATTAAAATTTGCTGATTCTGCAGGGACTTTCAGCTCAAGCTGTAAAAGAAGGAATAGGGAACAAGGTCCATGGCGGTGGTCAGCAAACTGTAGTGGAAACATTCTTCCCTGCTGAAAACAAACCCATTTATTATCACGGATGATGAAGGAACCTGTGGAGAGTTGGTGACAAATTCATACAGGATATTAGACAAGGACCTTCAATACAGTAAATCGTAGTACTTCCCCAGCAGCTGTCACCCCGGCAAGCCTCTCTATGCCTATTTATATCTGGAATTACTTAAACGAATGTCCTCTTAGGTCATCTACTAATCCTGCCCAATATATAAATAATAAAAATAATAATAAACACACACAGACTCAAGTTAAATATTAGTTTATTTAGCTTTGATAACTTTATTAAATAGTACATTTATTAATAAATGCATTAAGTATTGGCAAAGTCTGCACTGCCTGTTGAGCAATTTAATATTTACAATATGTCAACAGGAAATAATAAAATAGTTCACATTATGGAGTGGAAGACTTTATTTGCATAATTAATCTTTAGCACTTCAGAAGATTCTTTGAGCTTATTTCAAAAAGCTGTAAAGGGTTTAGAAGGAGGTTAAGCCTGAGAGAAATTAAAGAGGGGTTTCAAGAAATATTGTATGGCAGATGTGGATTTAAGCAAACTGGTTTCACCTCTTTGAGATTTTAACATTGAAATGAGGAGCCATGAAATTTTTTTAAGCCCTTTGCAAGGCTGCGCCATCACTTCACATTCTAAACTCGAATAATTGCAAAAATACCTTCAAATAAATATATAAATATCTTTCCAGTTCCATGATCACTGATTATGCTGCTCATGCTTCACCCAGTCTTGCCATCCTCCAGAGTAATACTGAACACTGAAACAAGACACAAAAGAAAGAAAAAAGTGAACATTTGCTTTGACGAAATCACACTTTTCATAATTTAAGACTTTTAAACAAAATCATGCAAACCAGTGACGGTGACAGACATAAGCCAAGGACACATATCTCACTCTTTGTATCCCAGTGTGATGGCCGTGTTCAGCGCAGTCTTGCTCCTGATTCCCGCCAAACACGTAAACACAACGTTATCTGTCTGGTGAGGTAATTCACCACCATACTTTTCTTTGAAGTCTTCTGGACCCAGCTGGAGTGCAGTGTTCACTTGCGCCACTGTAAAGTCAAAAACACAAAGGTTAAGGAAGTATGATGGGTTTGGTGCTCTGGAGAGCAGTTGGTTGAAAGCATTGGAGTAATATTTTAGAATAATGCCCTCCTTCATACCATATAATATGAAGTGGCTCATATTGCTTGCGTTTTACTCCATTTAGAATTGTATGTCAAATTGAGCACATTTCAAACCTAATTAAACTTGCCATTATGAAGCCACGGGGATAAAGCACACCTTCAAATGTTTGTTTTATGAACAATATAAAAACTGTGTATGAGTTTGCTTCATTTTGGACATTTACGATTTGTTATTTACCCCCAACCCACACAAACTGCAGTATACTACACTAGTATACAAATCTACAGCCCTGGCAGCCCAGCCGGACAACAATGTTGCAGGTAGAGAGAGCAGTACTCACGGGGGACGTTAATGGAGCCGGGGATGAAGCCGTATTCTCGGAGCTCCCAGGGCTCTCGCACATCTATAACTACTGCTTTCCGCCCAACCAGGAGCTCCTTCAGCTGCTCATAACTCACGACTGTGCTCGCTGGCGTTGAACTGAATGTGCGGAACAGCAACTCTGCGTTTAAAAACAAGACAGACAATATACTTAATGCAGTATATGAGCTCCTTCAAAACATGACAGTGAGTCACTCATATTAAACCTCACTTTTGTAACCGGGGCGAGTGCTGACACTGCTGGACACAGAGCCTTGTCCTCTCGGGACGCAAGCTTCAAACTGGACGGTATTATTCCATAAAAGCCGCGGGACAACACCGGCAAGTCTCCAACAACTTCTCAAGGCCATGTGTGATTATCAAAGCCAGATACTGCACTCTAAATTATCACTGCTCTTCAACACAAACCCTCACTTAAGCGTATCTGCGTGGGACAACTAAAAAAAGTCACAATGCCGACAATTATCTGCGCTTGCGCAAACGTACGGATATCCTAATGGGCCAAAATTCTTTCCCCACAAATGCCTTAGTGATAGTTTCAAACAAGTAATAACTAACTATTTATCAACACAAATTAGCATCATGTCCCCTAATTACATCAAACAAGTGCATCAAGTAAAAACAAAAAAACATTATTTATGTTGCATTCGCCGCCATGGGAAACGCATAAAGATGGGAAACAAGCTTTTATTTACCTCTAGTAAAAAAGAGATTTTCCCACTCAACTTGAATGCAGCATTGGGCCAACCTGAGCTGCCGTAGTGCGTCACACATAACCAGTGCTGCCTGTAAATGCTAACGAAAGCTTGACACATGTTTTAAAAGTCAAGGGTGTAAACAAAAAGATATTGAGATAACTGTTGACGGTATTGCGCGTTTTTTCTTTGAATAGCCATAATGTCTGCGTGTAATTTTGGATAAAACACACCAGTTCAGTTTTTATCCTACCAAGCTAATGTAGCTGGCCTTTTTTTGCAACCCAGGAAGAGCTGACATCTCAGTGTTGGCTTCATATTAGCTGACAAAGTCAACATAGGAGCTAACTTTAAGAGGTGAGTTAATACATATTCCATTTTCGCTAAATCTAGTATGAAAAAGATAAACTAATTTTGAAAATATCCGTAATAAATGGGTTAGGCGCCTCTTATTCTCACCCAAACCGGGCTGCCGGGGTTGTTAAGGCCTCTTAATCATGGTGTTGTCCATTAATAGAGTTATCTGTCGTAAAAACTCTGATTTTCTCCTACTGCCTTTATTTAGCAGTGGCATATCATGTAGCCGTAGGTATTGTGACCGTTCGCTTCCAGATTTCTTGCAGTTTAGAAAACGTTTAGGTCAGTAGCATGTTAGGGGAAGGGTGTAAAAATTATTTCAAAAGGAGTCCACCAGGAAAATCAGCTTAAACCTAGAAGCAGTGGAAAGTTTTTGATTGGTTAAATCAGTCACCTGATTTAATCGCCCCGAACACACCAGCTTGAGAGTAGCGTCAAACACACCAACTTATAACAGCCAAACCACCTATTGCATTTACCGTTTAATTATTTAAATAATCTTCAGCAGAGGCTATTCTGGTATGGCAAAAAAAAAAAAAAGAATTTTTGTTGTTGTTGTTGTTTTTAGTGCTGTTGTCTTGAAAGTGGATATCGTTGAGTCGGAGCCCAGCAAGGAGGAGTTGGCTTGGGCTTTTGAATGAAGGAGAGAAAAAACAACTGCTTTAATGAAAAGTAGTTTACTGAATATATATAAAATATGAGAAAGCAAGAGTGTAATTGTGCAAACATAATTAGTTATTCTATCCTAATATTTTTTCCCCACTATTGTTGGAAGCAAAGTAGTGCTTGACGATTCAATGTATGCATAGCTATTTGAATGTAAACACATGCTGTCATAAAGTTTTGATTTGGCACATTTCTGTAGGACTGTGCTGTAGTACAATGACAACACAATAAATGTGTGTGAGTGTGTGCATTTAACAATGCCTGATCTAAACTGTAGGGTTTTTTTTTTTTTGCTATTTTGAAAGTACCTCATTCTGTTGTGAAGAAAATAATAATAGCAGTTGTGTAGTACCTGGATAAACAAAATTATGTGTGGGTGTCCTAAATGTGTAAAACTAAACCAGTGTTGTCCCTTCTTGCTTTCAGAGCACCAGATGCGGCTGAAGGACCCCTTCTCCTTGAAAGCCGCCGACATGACTAAGCGGACTAATAAACCAAGAAAACCTCGAGATGAGGAATCATCAGATGAAGTCAGCGGTAAGTCACCGTAACAGTACATGGCACCGGACTGTTACGGTTAAGACTATGAATTTTGACTTGGTAGAGTCCTATAGACTATTCTTGAGTATTTTTTGTCAATGTTGAAAAGTCTGTGAGGTTTCATTCATTATTCTTATGGGATCAGTGCAATTCACCTTCAATTAAAAGGATCCTTGCTTACAAGACACCTTGTCTGTTAACAGGACTGACTTGCCAGCATGTGAGTAGAGCAGTGGACCTGAACTCAGTAAAGAAATCAGTCCTCTCGAGTGTGTGGTCGGTATGCTCAGAGTGCCTAAAGGAAAGGACAATGATTGATGGCGAGCCAGCAGCCTCTCAGGACATTCTGGTGTGTCTAAAGTGTGGTTTTCAGGTAAGTTTTTTTTTTTTTTTTTAAATGATAAATAAAGCAAAATGTGATGCAGCAGAGTTTAAACTAAATTGAAATAAACAACAGAGTAAGAACGTCATTATCATATTCAAGAGTCTTTAATTCTTATTTGTGTATGAACTTGACTGCTTCTTTGCTTTCATGTGTACACTCACTGGACACTTTAGTAAATGTGCCTTAATAGTGCCGGGTTGGACTGCATTTTGCCTCTAGAACTGCCATAATTCTCCACAGTATAGGTTCAACAAGGTGCTGGAAACATTACTTGGAAACTTTAGTCGTTGTTGATTTGATAGTATCATACAGTTGCTGCTTGCATGTCCAAAATGCTAATTTTACATTCTGCCCTGCTCTGTTGCATCGAGATCTGGTAACTGTGGAGGCCATTTGAATACAATGAACTCATTGTCATGCTCAACAAACCAATTTTTTAAAAATTATTTATTTCCTTTTATGTTGTTGTTCAATTTTGGTGAGCCCGTGTAAATTGTGGCATCATTTTTCTGCAGACACAGTCTTCTGCTGCTGTAACGCAGCTGCTTCTAGGTTTGATGTGTTCTATGTTCAGAGATGCTCTTCTGCATTCCTCTGTTGTAACAAGTGGTTATTTGAGTTACTGTTGCCTTGGCTTTGTGGGGAAAATCATAGATCAGCAGTTTCTAAAATACTCAGCCCTTCTACCACCAACAGCCAAGCTATGCCCAAAGTCACTTATATCATCATTCTGATGCTCAGTTATTGCCCGTCCCCTTGAGGTTGAAGGCATTTTTGAGACTTAAAATGTGGTTTTAGTTTCAGGGTTACAATTAGGTCATGGTTAGGTTTGGGCTTGGGGTTAGGCATTCTTGTTTTTTTTTTAGGGTACGTGGCTAGTGAAGAAAATGTCCATAATGAAGTGGTTAGGCCTGTTGGAACTTTCAAGAAAAGAGGAAGTCTAAACATGACCCTGAATAAAGATTTTCACCCTACTGTGCTCTTGAAGATTTGTTGCACCTTAAATGTTGTGAGCCCAGAGTGTATTTTATGGTTGCCAACAAAGATTTCTGTTTTTACAGGCCTGTAACCAGTCAGGGATCCAGCATGTTGTGAAGCATCAACAGGCTTTCCACCCAGAGTCACACTGCATCACCATCAGTTTGAGCACATGGAAGGCCTGGTGAGAAACCCAGGAAGTTAATTGTGAACTGTCGTGAAAAGAAGCCAAGGCTGCACACAATGGTGCCCTGTTTGTCACCTTGCGATGGCATGTGTCAGAATGCTGCCAGCATGTGAGCTCAAATAGAAAACAACAGGCACCTGCAGTCTTTTTGATCCTGGCTACCACAATTCTAAGACCAGTTTGTTTATTTGTAAATTATTTTACATCATTTTAGGCTCATAAATAATAAAATAAAATTTGTTTTCCACCATTATAATTAGGAATGGGAATTGAGAACCAGCTCCCAGTAGTCCAATCCATTGGAATCATTAGTCTGCCTGCTTATCGATCCTGCTTATCAGATCTTGAGCTCTTACTGCAATCAGCTGATTTCAGTTTGTGTGTCAGGGGAGGAAAAAGTGTCACAGTTTACAGCATGGATATGGACATTACTTTTATTTTTATTGCATAAAAGGATGAGAGCATGATAATGAAGTGGAGACTGCTCCAAGACAGAAACAACTGCATTATATTGTTAACACAACTTTGGCTCTTTACAAGCACTTTCACCGACACTGTACTAAGCTAGATGGGATGTTAAAGCTGAGTAAATGCTGGCACCAGAACAGCACCGTGATAAAGTAAGCAGTTATTCACGGTGAAGCCGCTGCTTAAATTCAACAGGTAACAGAGCCTGAGCGGTCTGGCTGCAGCCTCCGTGTCTACCTGTTCATGTTTCTACAGTAAAATCACTGTGACGATCAGTTTAAAGTCTCTTTTCTGGTTTTCATCTTTGATTTGTGTTCATACATCAATACTAAGAGAAAGATCACGTGTGTTCTTATTATGATAGGGATTTGTGCTGGTGTGTGGGGCTGTAGCCTGTAGGTTTATGTAGTTAAATGGTAATTATGAGACGTTGCGTTTCATTTTACAGAGTAACATGAAAGTAACGTAATGAGTAGTTTAACAAATGCCTTTCGCCTGGGTGTAATTAAGTAGAAGAACACTTTAAGAAAGGTGTTCTGTGTAATATATGTAATATATTTTTGAGTAATGACCCCAACACTGATTAATTTTTTATCAATTCCCATCCCTAATCATGATTTCTAAACTGCTTTCCACTCTAGCCAAGCAATTCGGATGTTAAATACTGTCTTATTAGTTTCTAAAGTAAAATGAACCCGGTCTTATTAACCTCTCTCTTTGTGGCAGGTGTTTCGAATGCAGTGAAGAGCTCTCGACTCATTGCAACAAGAAGGCTTTGGCTCAGAGCCTGGACTTTTTACAAAAGCACTCTGTCAAGGCAACATCAGGTAAGGTGTTTTCTGGCCATCCACTGTTGTCAAATTAAGCCTCAGTTATACAAAACGTACATGCTTACTGCAGTTTCAGCAGGGCCAAATGACAGTGTAGCTCAAGATTTATCATTCCTTTAAACTGGTGATCCTTTCTTTAGTTGAATACATCTCATGTTACATAATTTGCTTAATATTCTGGTCAGTCTATGTTTTGTGTCTGTGAGTAGAAGGCAAAAGCACAATAACAGTATATGAGCCAGTTAGCGGCTGCGTTGTGGCCAGATCCACAAATAAGACGGGCTCCTATCAGAAAAGTTATTCTTCTAAGTGAAGGGCTGACATTCCAGCAGTCGACTGCAGTACACCTGCTCCCCCTGGTGGCAATGGTCATGTGAAGTTTGACCTACTGTTCTTCATGCAGAGACACCCCACACTATTCAAATGGGTGAAATGGTTGTCTGATTTTTTGTTTTGTTTTGTTTTGCTTTTCTATGCTGCTAAGTGCTTGAAGAATATTCTTTCTACCCTTCTGTCGGTCTAAAATTGAATTAGAGCAGCAAACTTGTCATTAAAAGCAATAAAACTTACTAGAAATACTAAGAACTAGACGTAGAATAGAGTTGGATTTTAGTTGCAGCATTTTCAGCATTACTTACTACCTTCAGACTTGTCCTTTTCCCTCACTTAGACCACCTGAGCCCCCCACCCCACACTGAGTCAGTCATCCATATAGACATCAACTCCCATTCTCAATACTTACATGTACCTACACCTTCAGCTCAGTGTGCATCTCTTGCTTTGTGCTGGCGTGCTGAAAGACCTCCTAGCACACTGTAGTTGATCAGGGTGGTGGGCATCATCACTTTCAGTCTCTCAGGCCGTCTCTGCATCGCCCGCTGCATGCTGCCCAGTTGCCAGTGGCCAGAGGCCAGCCACTGAGGCCCAGGCAAGCTGGTCCCCAATCTAAGCCATGGCTGTGGAAGTTGCAAGATTGATTCTGCAGCTATCTCTCCCCTCACTCCCTCCCTTGCCCCCACCTTGCATATTGCATGACTGCACATATTTGTGGAATTAAGCGCTTGAGCGCTGCTTCCCCGGCTGGGTTCCCTGAAGAACAAGCGCAGCTGCGCAGGGTTCAGCCCTGTGATCTGTCGTTCTTTGTCTTTCCATCGCTATCCGTTTCTGTCCCTAGCTTCCTCTGTTAAGTTGCTGTATGTCTCACCACCTCTGGGCCTGTGTGCTGCACTAGTGGGAGCCAGGGTCCTCAACAAGTCTGAGCAACTGGATCCTAACAGCTGGAGCGCGTTAACTCTCAGTGGACATGCACACACATTCACAGATACACATAACGCCGAATGTTAAAAATAACTTTCAAGTCAAGCAGATACCCTATTTTCTTCCAGCTCATACTATACACTTGGCCTCTACAAAGGGCTTTAAGTTTCAGTAATATACTTAACTGAATTCTCACTGGCACAAAGTGTTCTTTGCAGCACAGAGTACAAGCTCTTCCTGGCACAATAAATCTGAATATCTTTTCTCCTCTAAGTACATTACATACCTGAAAAATTCAGATTCTTTGAAGTGTTTTAAAAGTGTCTACATAGTGTGTGTTACACACAGACTCTAAAAGAAATGTACAGAGAATTCATAAGTTAGACATGTGGTGGGTTGACAAATTTACATAGGTATACACTTTTGATTTTGTGTTGTTCATTTTTAAAGACTATAGGTGAGCAGTGTTGCGTGTTTTGTTTTATATACCTATGTCTGTGGAATAGCCTTTTTTTGTGCACAGCGCCAGGCCACAGTCCGTTGTTGGTGGGGATTGATCTGCCGAGCTGGACTGTAGCTACCAACAGCTTTCATGCAGCTCTGCTTCTTTAAATTATGTGTCACCTTTTTGTCACCTTTCTTGCCACTTGATTGTTCCACACCGGTCGGCCAAATGGGTATAGAAGCGGACAGCCATTGTTGCAGCAAAATAGATGGTCGTTGCTTGTTGAGGAGCTTGTGAAATTGCATTTCAGTGGAGGCCAGGGTTTCTCAAGAAGCTGCTGTTGTACTCTGTTTTTTTCTTTCTCTTTCCTATAGTCCCTAAGCACAAAAGAGCCCCAGCAAGGATTTTTTTCCAAATCTATAATAATTTTGTACAACAACAGCTTCAGGAAGAAAGAAAGTCGATTAACTGTGGTCTCTCACCATCAAGGCCTTCAGCTCAAGTGCCAGAGTCCCGGGTAAAAAAGCGACTTGACCTCAGGGGGGCTAGAATGCAGCATGTAAGACAGCTGGGGAGTCTTTGTGGAGCAAATTAAAATGTTGGTTGTGAATCGAGTCATTCTTTGCATTATAATTGTAAGAAAATCTGAGTGTTAATATACAGTATCACTGGACTGCATGTGTGTATTAATGTATTCAAGCAATTTTCTTTAAATATCTTTGAAAATGATTCAGGGTTGCTTTACAATCTTTTTTTTAACATAGCCAAATCATCATAAACATCCTTGTATTAAACATTAATTTTAACATTAATTAAAGCCCACCCTGTGCACATGAACTTGCACCAGTAAAGCCTTATCCACATATAATGTGCTTCATTGGTTGTGTCATTGCTGTGTGGTTGACAGCTTGCTATAGTCGACATTCCTAAGTTTTGGATGTGAAGGTAACCTTGTTGCATGTTTCCAGAAACATTCTAAATGGAGGACTTTGACCTGATGTCAGATTGCGATATCCTTCCCTCTCATAGGTTGTTGCTTCGGTCACTCTCCTCTAAAAGCGCCAGACCAGTTCACACAGTTTTAGTTGATATCCAGCCACGTTGCCCTGTGTGTACGCCCAACATTTTCTGCATTCCCAATAGGAGGCATGCAGTAAAGAACTGTACAGACTGCAGCATCACTACTACTGACCTGAATACAGTGCACAGTCGTGTCAGACAAATGTAGCTGCACAACTTATATATGTGCTCTGCCTTTGTTTCTTTTCCTATCGTAAGAAGTTTCATGTTCTCATATCTGCTGACACAGACACGGACCCCTAGGTAAGAGTCAGCACATCAAAGCTGCATTAAGTGGCTGACTCTGAATTTTGCTGGATCAGAAATAACATGGATTTATCTCTCATTTCCCTTTTATAATTTTTTTTCTCCAATTCTCAAAGGCCAAAACAGTTTTGTTTGCAAAAAGTTTATTGCTGTGTGGTGTTGGTCACACTCACATTAAATCCTTTTCTAAATAGGTTGCTGTCATGGTGGGAAATTTATCACATGTTTATATGAGGAATATTTACATATTGTTTGCACCAGGGCTGTTTGTCTCTGTTGTACTCAGGATTGCACTTCTAGCCTCCAGTTTTGAGACCGTGGCTTAAGTCAGAGATATTCTGTAGTTGGATTACAGCACTTTTATTCACCTGATTTCCTCACCCTGGTTGTTAATTTTGTAAGCCATAATTCTTAGTTTACTGTCAGTTTAGCTTTGCCGAGTCAGTAGCCAGTAAGAGGCTTGTCCCCTGGTGGTGCTTTCATGGAGGTAATCAAGAGTGCTTCTGTCTTTATTCCCACCACCGCACATGAAAGTAGGCCAGATAGTGGGTAGTAAAATCTGTGTGCTTAAATGTGTGTGTGTCTGTAAGTAACATGGCACTGGGTTCTCTTGGCCTCAGATGGCAAGGAAACGGGCTTTTCATGCCCTGCAGTCACAACAAATTAGCAAATTAATAAGACATTTGGTGTTGCCTGGCCTTCCTCTTGACTGGCTGCTCTGCATGAAGTGAGCCGGCCTTGGCCCTCTGCACTGCTGCACTGTAAGTGAACGTGGATGACGCCCACTGGCCTTTGCATTTGACAGTCTCCCAGCCCTGTGAACTGCATTAAGAAGGCAGAGTAAAGGCCTTTTGAAAATAGACTTTTGCAGACTCCTGTGTTTTGTCTTGATGATATCAGTATAAATTTACATTAAGTTTCTCTTAGATATAAAAAAAAAAGTCTTTGTGGTGCGCTATTGCTAAAAATAAAGTTGAAAATATTAATTTTTAACAAAACTGGTTATGTTTTGTTTTGTGAGCTTGAATTTTAGTCTGATGTTAGCCTTGCTTCAGCTTGATAATGTCGAACATGTAAGGCAGTTCGTTGTTTTTTTCTCTTTCTCTTTTGCAAGTACTTTTAGTAATATTCCCTGCCAAAGTAAGCATGTTTCTTTGTATTTCCGTTGTGTGAAAAAGAGCAGGGAGTACAGGAGGTGTTGGTGTATATGCATGCATGTGGGCGAGCTCGAGCACCACGATGCTTTCCTCTGCCCTGGGGAAAGGCTCCACAGTGTCACTGCTGCCCATACTCGGTGGCTGAGCAAGGAGAGCCAGGTGGTGGTGCCGAGTGCAGCACAGTCAAGCGTGGATGCAGCTCATGCTGACATTTGCCTGCGCTGACTGCTGCGGGGAGAGGAAAAATCTGCTTTTCCATATGCTTGTGCTCGTCGCAACCCTTCCCTCCACCCTCTACTCCCCCACACTGCCCTCTTCTGCCCATCGCTCCCCCACACCCTCCTCCGCCTCCAGTCTCAGCCAGATGGCTCCCTGAACATTGTTTACCTTGGGTGACGGTCCCAGATGCAGTGTGTGTCCATCGGCATCCCCATTCCATCCATTTCATTCCCTCATTCCTCTGCTTCTCTCTTAGCTCAAGTGCAGGTCTCGGCTCTCGCACTCAAGTTGCACTTTGTTGATTTTTGTGTCTCTCGAATACCACAACAAGTAGACATGCTCATTTACACACTCTTACTCCCACTCAACTATCTCTTCTGCTCAATTGTCCATACTTGCGTAAATGTCTCTTTTCACACCTTCTCAGTCTCACACCAAAACTCCAAAAATACACCGATTTTTTTTTTCCCTTCGATCAGGCCATGGCCTTTCCTCATCCCCGCTTGTTTTCCATGCATTGTATGTGATGACATATGGGAGCTCCCTTATGGCTGCATATTGAAATTGAAAATAGGCCTCCAGATGTTGCCAGCACAGAGAGCCAGATGCATTTAGCACCACTGGGTGGAGCGTCTCAGCAGCATGTTGTCCCGACAAGCTGAACCTCGCCCCTGCCTTCTTGATCCCAAATCTAGAGGACAAGCTTAAATACGCTTGCTTCATTTCTCATCAGCGCTAAATATTTTCTGTTAAAGCAATATAATTTAAGGCAGCAGCATTGGTGCAGGCAAGAAAATACAACGGGAAAAAAAAACTATGCACTGTGCATTGTGACAGAGTTGTTGTGGTATTTCTTCTCAAATCTATGTAAAAGAAAAGCTGACCTTTTTTTTTAGACACTGTTTAGTGGAATTTGATTTAGTATAAAATGCAAATTTTTAAGGCCACAAATAAAAGTCCAAGGCTCACATTCCACCGACTGTGACCAGGACGGTCGTTTTAATGGCCTTGGCCTTGGGGAGGGAAAGCTTGCTTGGTAGCGGCCAAGAGTGGGCTTACCTATCGCTGTATGTTGAATAGCTTTTTCAGTAAACATGCACAAAGAGTGATTCTATAAATTCAATATGTGCAAATGCAGGGCCATTTTGTTTTGAGGAAGAGAATGGCAAGAGCAAAGGTGCAGGTTCTTTTAAAGGTTTACTGTTGTATTGAATTTCTCGGTTTGGACATAAGCAGGTTCAGGCTAGTGACCTCGCTGCTAGCTTGCTCTCTTGACTCGCTTATATGTATAAAGTGTTCATGGACCAAACTCTCTTTGTGTTTTTCTGCAATTATTGGATTTCTCAACAGCCTTTGGACCTGAAAGTGCTTCCATCAGTCCCTGCAAGAATTTGCCATTTTGTAATGAAATGTCTTATTATCAGCTCAGAAGAGAGGTTATATTTTCTATGCAGTAGGAAACTCATTGAATTTTTTTTTTTATGTCAACTGTTGTAACTTCTGTTCAACAATATTTTTTTAAATAAGATTAAAATGACATGAAAATCCTTTGACTCTGAATTTTTTTAATACTACAATAACAAACTATTAGATTTTATTTATTTTTTTAAATCATGCTGGCGTATTCACAAATTCTTTACACTGAGGACTGACTACTGCTAAGAAGAATTCAGTTCTCAATGTTAATAGAATAGAATAGAATAATCCTTTAATTGTCCCACAAGGGGAAATTTGGTTGTAACAGCAGCCAAAAAGACAAATATACAAACAAACAGGACACAGGACACAGAACAGAAACATACACAATTGGATAATATGGATGCCATTCAGAGCGTATTGCAAATGGCATATTTCAATTGTCCTGTACTGCATCAAAGAATATATTTTAGCTTTTTACAAACCCAGCTTGAAAGATTGCTGCAGTCTTGGTCATAACCGGGATTGTCCGTGTTCACTTCTATCACTTGTGCCTTACTCTGACCACAGGGGGGGGGGGGATCATCTACAAGATGATCTGCCTCACTATAGCGTACTGGGCTAAAGACTTTGGCCACTATTTCTATATATACTACTAATTTTCTAGAAAATGGAAAATGGTTGTTGTGGTTTATTTAAATGGTAAATGGCCTGTATTTGTATAGCGCTTTACTTAGTCTCTATGGACCCCAAAGCACTTTACACTACATTCACACATTCACACACTGGTGATGGCAAGCTATATTGTAGCCACAGCTGCCCTGGGGCGCATTGACAGAGGCGAGGCTGCCGGACACTGGCGCCACCGGGCCCTCTGACCATTTAAACATATGCAAACATAAAGGAAAGTACAGGATACAAATCAAAAACTGGGTTTGTACAATTCTAACAAGTTCATGTGCTCATTATTTTTAAGAAGCACTCCAACACAATCCTCTGAAATTTAGCATTAAACCATGACAGAGCCTCCAGCGTGCTTTTAAGACGGCTGTAGACACTGTGGTAAATCTTTCCTGACCTCCTCTGTAAATACTGAAAAGATTTTGACTAATAATTTCACATATTGATTCATCACTCCATCAGTACTGTTGCCACTGATCTTCAGTCCAGTTCTTGTATAAGCCTTTTCTCCCTGTTTCCGTTCCTTAAGAATGGCTAACTGCCAGCAACACTTCCAGTGAGACCATTTCTGATGAGGCTTTAGTGAACAGTAGAACTGAAGGGTCAGATGCATCATATTTCTTTTTGAGCTATGATGACTTCTTAGGTGCATCATACCTAGATATTTTATACCAAGTTTTCAGCTAATAGCTCTTTGGTAATCACCTTGCTGGTGCAAAAAGTTTATTATATACCTGTCAAAACTGTGATTCTGACATTATTCACACATTCTAGTGAAGAAAAGGAAACAAATTGTGTATTGCAACAGGCTGCTATTACAATTATCTGTTATGTATGGATACAACACTGGTTCATCCTTAATTTAGGTGCATTTTTTTTCTTTTTAAGTGGATTAACAAAGAAATAAACAAAAACAAGAAAACGTTCCTCTAAAAAATGAGTGAAAAAAGAGCTTCGGACGAGTTTCAGAAAGCCTGGAGAACTATTGCTCAAGGCCAGTTTAAAAGATCACAAGAAAGTCTGGTTGCTGGGAAGCAAAATATAAAGAAATGAACGGTGGCTCAATGCTTTTGCCCTTTACTGTTTAAGGCAGAAAAACAGATCCTGTTAATGAAAATCCCAAAGTACTAGGACTAAATAGACAAAAATATGATGAACATCAAGTTTCCAGATCATTAGAGAAATTAAAGAAAAGCTTTCTCCTGACAGACAAACAAATAAATCTTTCAAAATATTCATGAATTAATTTGACAAATGAAATGCACTCTGACTGAAATATCTTCTCATTCTTCACTGCAAGGTAATGTTAATTAAAGAGTAGTACATTTTTGAGTTGCTTGTGTGTGTCATTCCTGGCTTGGTTATTGTTTAGCATTTAAAATAGTCTATTTTCTTCTTTAATACCAAACAGAACACATTCATTGTTTCTCATTTCAGTATTCAGCTGTGTACAGTGATCGTTTTAGGGAGTTGATAATGGCTACATTGGTATTCTCATTACTGCTGGTTCACTGCGTAGACCTCTTTCTGTGCCTAAGGCTGCTAAATTAAAAAAGCCAATCTGTAGAGGATTATGGTGTGTTCCCACATCGGCGTTTGTTTCTGAACAACAGCTGCGTTTTACCTGAAGGAGCTGCAACTGTCACATATTTATGTTTTTTATTTATTCATGATTTTTTACCATGATAAACTCCAAAAGTAAGATGTCATGTTAAGAACAATAAGTTAACTAGTGAAGAAGGCTAGCATGTGTCAGTAACGTGTTATTGTTGACCCATCATGGTTTTAGCTATATTGCTAGCTGTTGGCACGCCATCAGCCCACACTGCTCCAGTACTAACTCTAGTCTGTCCCCAGCAAGCTGTATGCCACTGTTAGATTCTGACCATCTGTGTCTTACTTTCTGTGGAAGGTTAGTTTTCATTGGTGATCAGGAGTAACAGCTGGCTCTGGAGAGCCATCTCTCCAACCCCAGCCCCCACTCCTCCACCACTAACCAGCGGAAACTTCTACAGCTGTCATCTGCTTTCCCAAATGACCCAGCTCTCCTTCCAGCTGCCATCCCAATACCTTACTCCCAGTCCCAGTTTTGGTGCAAGGCAAAGTCTTTTTTTTTTTTCTTTCTTTTTTTTGGCCAGTATTCCAGGACAATGGAAATTTGTTCAAGACCCCCACTTCACTTGGTGCATCTTGACTTCAGTCTTGTTATGAAAAATAATATTAAGGTTTAATTCAAAACCACGTGCACACTATAATCCTGCCATTTAACTCTAACTTATAGCCTTTTACTGTACCTCTTTGTTTTATGTGTTCCAGCAGTATCACCCAAGATCATAAAACTCAGAGAAGAACCACCAGATTATGCTGACCCACCAAAAGGCAAGAGCTCAGTCAGCAGTGCTTTGGTCCCTGTTAAGGGAATCAATAACCTTGGTAACACCTGCTTCTTCAATGCTGTTATGCAGGTTGGTATTGCTATTCTGTTTCTGTTACTCGTCCTTGATGATTTTGTTTTTACTTGAATCTTACTCTTTTTATAATATTGGGTCAGAACTCAAGAACTGAGAAACTTTTGCCATTAACAGAACACTAAAATATTCAGAAGCATTGTTTTTGGCATACAGCTCCCAAGGAAAGTGACACCAGTGGCATCCTTTAAAAAGAAAGAAGCCATAGATAGTAAATGTGCATGAACTCTTGGACATCTGTGGAAGACAAGAGTGGTGGATGATCATAGTATCCTTTCTGTGGTAAAGAAGAACTGCTTGAGAACATGCAGCCAGGTGAAGAACACTGTGAAGGAGGGAAAAAACACAGGGTGTTCACCACGAGTTGCAAACAAGTGATCTGTGACCTGAAGCATACTATGATCTGAAAGACAGTAAAACTCGTATCAACTATATTGTCAGCTCGCTTTCAACAGTGTTGACTGGTTGGTGTTTGCAACTCAAAGATAAGTTAAAACATATTCTGAAAGCAATCCAGACACTTGAAGGTAATGAAGTGAACTACTGCAATGGCCAAGTCTATCACTTACTTGCAATACTGGAAAGCCAGAAAGACCTTCAAACAACTGGAGACCACTACAGCATAAAGGCCTGGAAAAGCATCACAAAGTATCAAGCTCCTCCTTTAGGGAGGTGCACGGATTCTAAACATCAGGGAGTCATTGCTTTCAAAGGATACTCAACGTATTTAAAATGGACATTTTACTTTAGACCTTACATTGGAGACCTTGAAAATGGATGACTCTGGACAAAAAATAGTTGTGATTCCTCTGTGGTTGATGTGATATTGGCATTCAAAGCCAAGATTATGTAATTTGAATCACTGTACAAATATTTCCAGACTTTACTGTACGCAACTGGCACTCGGTTGGTGCAGAGCACATTCACAGCACAGCACAGCTATAGAGCCCTCCTCAGTTTTTCCCTGGTCATGTCATGGTGACTGCAAACTGACATGCCTCTTCAACAATGAAGCTGTTTTTTTTCCGCCATTTTGTTAATCACCCTCAGGGTCTCCCTCGTTGATTGAAATTCGAGTGAGCGTGCTTTACATGCTTTTCCCTCCCTCTCCCTGTCTGTTTGTATTGTCTCCTTGAAAATTGCAATCTTTCTGGTGAAAACACATAATTGTCAGAGGATGAGCTGTGTCTGTGTTCACAATGCCAGCTCCATTGTGTGTTTTCCATAGCAACAGTCTTTATTGCCAGGATGTGACAAAACAAATATCTCTTGAAAAGGGAGGAAAAGATGCTTCTCTAACATGAAGGGACAATGACTGCTTCAAGCAATCTCCTCGCCAAGGATCTTCTCTGCATTTAATTCATACAGATCATAGATAATTTTGCCTTTTTCAGTGATAAACTCGACACAAGTTTCTAAATCATACTAAAATGGAGAAAACATTGTTGCGCAGCTATTTTAGTTGACTACATGATATTGCCACAAGCTAAGTGCAGAAACATTTTTATATCTCTAAAACATTATAGCTTTTCTTGTTTCTTTGCCTTATGAAAGAAAATCTTAGAATCTGTGGTTTGATCAGTTGGAGCTACTTCTTTAATGTACAATATTCTCTAGTTAAAACCAGTTGATCTAATGCACCTGATGAATATTGTTCCCCAGTTGAAATCAGAGGCAGAGTGTCATATATGGTGGGGGAAATCAACACAGCTTGGTATTGTGTTATTTTGTATGGATATAGAGACACCAAATATCAATATTTTATTAAATAAATTCTAATACTTAGAAAAAAAAGAGGGCCCACCTCATTTACCTCATCTGAGATAATGTTAGCTAATTTAAATTAACCGAAAAACCATCCAACACTGGACACACTTGGTTTGACAAAGCTACCTTCAGTCACACAACTACAAAATAGGATCTTCAGTACATTTTAAAAAATTGCCCTTTTTTCACATTCTGCATCTTGTGGTGAGTAAATGGTTGCTTAGACCTTGAGAGTGTTAGATCCTCACAACAACTTTTGATTGCAAGAGGCAATGTTTCTGCAAACAGTTCCAGTCTGACTTGGACTGACTGCAATCCCTCTGAAAGATTGTCAAAAGTGTGAAAATAATTTCTGTTTGATTCATAAATACAGACAGATTGCCTGCATGTTGCCATCAGTCTGAATGAGTCTTTGTCACTGAGGACAACTCCATAGGATTCAACTGGCTGCCAAATGGTTGTATACTGGTTATATAAAGCAGGAATGTTGCTAAGTCCAAATGTAATGGTTAAATGTGAATTTCACATGTGAGTTTTAATGAGTTATCACAGTTAATTGCTGTATTGTCATAAATGATTGCAAGTAATTGCCAACTTGACCCAAATTTAAATTGCAGACTGATAGCAGACTTACTGGCAACATTTATGGCAGGTTTTAGTGACAGTGTTGGTGTGCTTGACCATTATTTACAACAAAACCATAACATGAATGAAACAGATACTGACAAAGTCTAACTTTGAGGACATAATTTGCAGTTGGGGAAAGGTGACAAATCACAATAGATGTTATTGCAGTACTCAGTATATTGCAAAATGTTAAACTGCATTAATATTGTATAAGCGAGTCCCACCTTTAGAAAACGATGACCCCGCTTAACAGTCTTAACATGATTCTGTTTTCCTCACAGAACCTGTCCCAGACACACATGCTCATTGACCTTATCCAAGAAGTGAAGGAGAAGGGGTACAAATTGAGGATCTGCCCCCCTCCAGAGACAAATCTGGTACAGCTTATTATTCTCATTAATAAAGGAGAATTATGCATATTTTAATATGCATAATTACAGAAATTTTTGAATGCTGTTAGAACTTAGTAGTAGTTAAAATTGAAGTATTTTCATGTTTTCTGTATTTCTGGCCTTATTTCATAAACAAGATGCTAATTACTTCAAATAAGAACAACATGTTTTACTTTCATGTGTTCTTCCTATTCCAGAGTGCACTAACAGTAGTGCTGCCCAGTCCAGAACCCTTGACTGCCGCCATGTTTGCCTTCCTCCACAACATGAAGGATCCAGGGAAAGGCTGTGTCAATCCCAAAATCCTCTTCAACCAACTCTGCCAAAAGTAAGGCACAACCTTTCATATCACCTGCTACTTCCTGTGAACCCAGAGCCTCTGCTTTATGTGTCCCCTTATCTGTGGGGAACATGAGAAGTAATGTAAGCTAGTGAAGCTGGAGCAGAGGCTATGTTGATTTGAATATTTTCATTCTGAAGCAAGCAGAGTTGGCAAAAGCAAAGGCATTCTGTACTTAAGTAGAAGTACAAATACTACTGGTAACAAATACTCCAGTAAAAGTTGAAGTACTGATACAACTTCTATACTCAAGTAAAAAAGCACAGGCTCAGAAATGCACTTAAAGTAAGAAACTTCTGTGGAGGATGCTTCTATTTTTATGCAAGGCTAACTGAACCTTGTGCTATATTAACGTAATGATAACATAATCTCAGTAGATTGAAATCACTTTCACTTTCGTCTAAAGTGATTTTTAAAAATGTGTATCTATTTTCTGTTGCCTACACTGTAGAGGGTCCTGCAGAGTATGTGGCAGTCTGAAGTCTAATCACTACCATCTATTCTGGTCCTGCCCAAAAATTAGGGTTAGGCAAGATATCCACAAATGTTTGAAAAAGATTTTCTGCACACAAATCCCCTTTGATTTCTTATATATGTACTTAGGCCTCCCAAATATAACTAATCCAGCAGATAAATATCTACTGAGAATTATGTTAATGTCAACTAAGAAAACCCTGACAAGAAAATTGCTCCAAGCATTGGAAGGAATACAAGAACTGCACCATACTGTCTACCAAATATTTATAATGGTGAGGCTCACTATGTCTTTGCAGCTTTAAAGAGAGAAATTCAACAAACCCTGGTTTAAGTGGACCCAGTATATTAAAGAGATAAGAAGTAATTTTGTCTAAATAGCTTACCTTACCTAGTAAAACAACTATGAGGTGGAAAATGCCATCAAGACTGGGCCAGCTGTTTCCACCGGTCCTACTGTTCGGTTTGTTGGTTTCTTTCTTGTTTTTTGTGTGTGTGTGTGTTTTGTTTTGGTTTGTTTGGGGGTTTTTTTGGTTTTCTTTTCTTTTTTTGCCTACATTTAAAATCACAACCAGATATTTATTTTAAAAAAAAAACATTTTACATAAAAAAAAACATCTGGGAAATTCAATCAGGACATACCACTTCCATCTTGCTACAACTTTGAGGAGTTGAAATTGTTTGTCATATGTTTGTCTCCGATGTTTAGCAAAATTGCGTATGGACAAATACTATACATATAAATGCCAGGTTTCTTATTTTCAGGAATGTTATAACGCTCCTAATGTAAATACTTTGTGTAAGATAATCAATAAAAACTTACAAATATTTAAAAAATGTAGGGAGTAAAAGCAAAAAGTAGTCAGAAAAAAAACAACTTGCATATATCTGAAAATAGTACGTAAGCACAGTAAAAAAGTATCTGTACTTTGAGTACACAGATTTTATTGACAAACCTTTCAGACATTTTGAACTCTGGTTGTGTAATTGCGGACCTAAAATCACCAATCATCATACACCAGCTTCAGACTCCTGCCAATGTTTGGTTTCAGGGTCAGTGAAGCCATCAGAATTCACCATAATTATTGTTCTCCATCACCACTGCAGGAGCCACAGCTTCCACCTGCTTTCATCCCTTTACTGCAGCAGTGCACACTTTTAACCAGCCTGACCCCAGTAGCACATGGTCTCTGCTGAATGCCTTTCACACACACTAACCTTGACGTACACGGAACATGCACTCAAATCACTGTACCGCTGTAGCTAGCCATTTGTAGTTCTCCTGCTTCTCTCCACATGGCTGTGCCACCTGTGTCGCATTTGATCCAAGGTCTGACAGACTGTGTGACAGGCAGACCTTGCTCTTACATGAAAAGTGTGGGTGTCTGGTTGGCTAACTTATTGGTTGAGCTTGGTACCCTGCTGGTTGGGTCCACCGTGTTTGTGTGTATGGAGGGGGGCTGGGGCCTCACACTGTTTAGTAGTGCAGGTGGATGACCAGAGCATTTGACGTTGGATGACTGGATCGTTCTCTGGTGCGGCTTTTACAGTTATTCTGGTACCTAGCTTTTATCAGACAGACCTCTGTGTGTGTTTGTGTAGTGTGTGTTTGTGGGATGCCACCTCACCTGGCACCACCTCGCCCTGCAACGCATGCAGGCAATTGTGCATTCAGACAGCAAGCACTGCACACTCTTATGCACTCATACATGTCTAATTTCAAGTAGAACTAATCTATTCCACTAAAATACATTTGAATAGACAGATTTGACTTTAAGCTTCACCACACTTTATGCTACTCTTTGTTTAAACTGTATCAAATGATTAATCTATTCTTTTTTCCATACAGCTTTATTGTAGTACAGTAAAATGACAGATTTAATACATTGTTTTTATGATTCAAATGGCAAAGAGGCGGGAAACAGGGGATATGTTATTTTATTTTATTTTATTGCTCAATTACAGCGTTCATGTTTATTCCCAATGACAATAATATTTGATGCACTTTATTATCAATGTTTTGTTTTTATAACTTTTTTTTTTTATTTTTAGGTAAATTCAACTCACATAATTTAATACAGCGGTCTCCAACCTTTTTTGCGCCACGGACCGGTTTATGCCCGACAATATTTTCACGGACCGGCCTTTAAGGTGTCACGGATAAATACAACAAAATAAAACTAGTACCGGTACCGTTTTTTCGGTAGAAGATTTATTCATAACACACATGAAAAGACCCAGGAAAACCGAGTTTACGATCAAAACGATAACAAAATAACGCTGAAAACCGATAAAAACCCTGAAAACCATACATTTCACACCTGAGCCTCAACTCTCGCAGCCCGGTACCAAACGACTCACGGACCGGTACCAGTCCGAGGCCCGGGGGTCGGGGACCGCTGATCTAATGGATAGAGATATAAGCATTCAAGTTATTGTATGTTGTAGCCTTTTACAGGTATGAAGTTTATGTAGACTTTTTGCATCCCATGGTGTAGTGGTTAACACATTCACTTGGCAGGTGAAAAGTTGCTGGTTTGCTCCAGCCAGAGACATAAATCCCCTTCATGGTTGCGTCAAACCAAACGTGCAGAGCTATTCGTTTTGGTGAACCCCCTTGTTTATGGCAAGGAAGCAGGGCTGACCGTTTTTGGTATCGCCATCTTGATGTCTTGAAGCCAAATTATCCAATTCAAAAAGTGAGGAACACTGAAGTAACGCATTCGTCACACATCGCTTTGAAGCTGACGGACGGTTGTTTGTGGATAGCCAGGTTCCAGTGGTCTGGGCGAGCCTCTAATGTATGTACTATCACCTGGAATTGAGAGAAATTTTTCTTGGGTGTCGCCCACTTCCCATCGCCAGCAGTTATTTTGCTTGTAGTCACTTGTCTCTGGTCACAATTGCTGCAGATTCCTTTCAGGCTGTATGTAGTGTTCAATATATATTTATTTTTAATGAGGGGTTTTGTTTTGTCTGGGGTTTTTTTTTTTTTTTTTTTGGGGGGTTGTTTTGGGTTTTGTTTTTGTTTTTTGTTTGTTGTTTTTTTGTTAGTGTTGTGATTGGCAACTTAACTTTTTTTAAATTTACTTATACGCCACAGAACATACATGATTCTGAGCCTGATGATAGCCTGCGCTATCACCTGTTTTTAGACGACTCCTCACAGCAGCCTATCTACATTTACTGAGGCCTAAAGCCTTTGATCTGAAAGGCCAAGGCCAAGAACTGCTCTGGTTTACTGGGACATTTTTCTTTCTGTTGCAGCGACCTTTACAGTACCTGTACTCTGAAAATGTCCTGCCATCCTCTGCAAGTTCTTCTCACTCAAAGAGGATTGGGTTTGCCCTTGGCCTGTGAGGGCTAACAGCGCTTTTATCATTTCTTTATCAGTCTTTCCCTGTATGTTTGTGTTAGCACACTGCATAATGGGGCCTTCAGTCTGTGATCAGCACAGTTTAAATGGTTTTTTTCTACTTAGCAGGGGTTAATGATTATAGCCATGGCTGATCCAGTGTTTTACAGTATTCCCACGCAGAGCAGACTCTGATTTAGGCTTACAGCTTACTCTCGGTAAAGGGAAGTAAATCTGCAGGCTGGAGCTGTTGTGCTTTGAAAATAAGGTAGAAGTTGGAATAAACAGCACTAATCTTCTGAATTATAATGACAAACACAGTCTGTTTCCGACACCTTGAAACAGCCATATGAGTCAACCTACTCTACTCAGCTCATCCTGAAGTCGAGCCCATTTTTGTGTTAAATGTGCGTGTGTTCACATGGATTTGACCTTAACCAGCTGAGTACCCCACAGCTTGCTTCCTCATCCTCCTGCCAACAGCACGGGGTCTGGTCTGTGCTCAGACCAGTGCCAAGCAGTGTGTGTCGGACGGCCAGCACCACACTCTGTATCTGGTGCCAGTGAGGGTCCCAGCTTGTACCCAGTGTACTACAAAGCCAGTCAGTGGCACAACCGGGGAAAAAAAAATTACAGACACAACTGTTTGTCTGTTTTTCTTTTTGGACCTGGACTTGAAATGTCTTAAGTATTAAAAATGACAATTTTTTGAGAATTTTCATCATTAATGTCCATCACTTTATCTGGATGCATTCTCTACACATGTGTAATGCACAATCTGGAGGAAAAAAGGCCACACAGAGGGCATTCATCAACACCTGCTTCTTTCAAGGACTGATTCCATTTTCAGGACAGCCACTGGACACTCTTGTGGTGCAAAAAAATGAAAAGTATGCTGGCTCTCTTCTCTGTCCGTGTACTGTGTCCACATACTCACATCTTTCAAAAATTGTTCATAAATAAGCCTTGTGAGAAGCCTTTCATCCCTGATAGAAATAGCACATGACAACAATGGATCCCATCTAGTGCTGGCATCCAGGTCACTTGCACATACAGCACACACCACATTAAAAGAAGAGAGACAGATTCAGAGTTGGTATAAAAATAAGAATAATAATTTTGACATGTGCACATATTCAAAGCTGGCATTGAAACTTTACATCCTTTCCCTCAGCTCTGCTGCTCTCTATCTGGTTTGTGAACACAGGACACCTTCGAATAATGATGTTGAGAGCTTCATGATCAAAACCAGAAAAATATGAATTAAAAGTACAAAGCCAATCTTTGATGGCGGTTCAGTGATTTTTTTTTTTCTTTGTATTTTTTCCCTGTTGCACTAGAATTTTTGTGCGTTTTTATGGAATATTTCAATAGGCATAAAATCTTTTTATATTACAGTTTCAAACATTGTGCCATTTCTCATTGACGAATCAACCTTTAAATACGTTACTGTGTCATGATATATGAGTTTTCTTTCTCTTATACAGCACTAGTATGTCAGCATCAGTGAGGGTGCAGACCAATCCATGTAGTCAGAATGAATGTTTTTGGGGGGGGGGTTGTCTCTCAATTCCCCATTAGTGAAGTCAGTAGTTAAACTAACAATGTTCTCAGAGTGACAACAAATGTTTATTATTTTTACTTTGAAATTATTCATAGTGTTTAAATGCTGCAGTGAATGCAAACATTGAACTGCAATGTTTTAAAGCCGTCTTAAGGGCTCGACCTTTCGGATAGCAGCTCTGTGTGTGTGTGTGTGTGTGTGTGTGTGTGTGTGTGTGTGTGTGTGTGTGTTCGACTTGGGGGGAGCTTGTGTGGCCTTGTGTCTGGTACTAACTCATCCGGCTATTAATTGTGTTAGCACCGCAGCTGTTTGTATTGGCCAGATTGAGAGCAGGGCTACAGGGCCCTTCTGCTTTGTCTCCACTGGGATGAACTTCCAGACCTCCTCATTCCCACTGATACCAACCATGTGCATTCATTTTTTTTTCTTTTTCACTGCCTCTCTCTTTCCCCCCCTTTTTTTTTCTGTCTCACGCATTCTCCTCTCTGTTTTGTCTTCATATTTCTCTCTTTTAGTTGATCAACAAATTCAGTTGGCAAAGCTAGATGGAGGCATTCCTTTACTTGCTGCTCTTCCTGGAGGCTCGCCAGTAAATAACATATGTTCTCTGTACCATCTTCACCCCTGCATGTTGCCTTCTGTTTGCACAAAAAGAGGCATGAAAGACAGAGATTAGGATAAGATGCGAGTATGTGGGGCAACTTTGATCTCCTCCAGATTTACAGGTTCTGACCTGTGTTGAAGAGAGGTGCTTGGCCATTTCTCTCCTGGACATCCATTTGTTCATGGCAATGTGTCAAGGGTGTAAAAAGCTGTTTTGGTCTGAGTGATCTTCCCACATAAGTAGGATTAGGAATGTCATTAGGAGAATGTTTTGGTCAGAATTTATATTTGACACACTGCATTCCTTTTTAATAATTATAATAGGATTAACTGCTTTCATCAGACAGGAACAGGTGTGCAGCATTCCTATTCAGAACATTTTGGCAAACAAAGAAACTTAACATACAAAGATCATAGCATAGCAAAAGATCCACAATGGCTTGAAAGGAGTTAACCCACTACTACGCAATGCCCACCTCTGACCACCCTCAATGTTGTCTAATCAGGAATGTGGCCTCTCAGTATGTGTTATCCCTGTTGAACCAACCTGTCCTTTGGTTATGTGGTTGCCTCGGCCCAACAGGTTGCAGTAGCTCCAACCTTGGCTACCCATCTGCCCCTGGCATCTGTCCTCACATCTGCTTCACCGTGGACAGCCAGGGGTCGGAGCCAAGGAGAGCCTCCCCTCTAACCACTCTAATGGTGTCCATTCGCTTTACCAAGAAGATTTGTGCACAGCAGAAAGTCTGTTTTGTGGAAGTATCCAACATAGAGGAGTGGTGACTTGCCTATGAACCTCTTCTTATATGGCTTAGAGAGCTTCATTGTATTTATTTTTTACTTTTTTATGGATGGAAGAATGGTATTTAATAAGACTTATTTAAATCTTTTTTTTTTTCTTCCGTTTTATTTTTTTTTTATAATAAAGTATAATGTATTGTAGTTCAGTGTAATAAGCAACTGCTTTCACAAAAAGAAGATGTTTAATTTTATCTGAGGGGGACCTGCTTTCACACAGTTCATTTGCTAGTAGCAAATAGGTGTTCATCCTGGTAATGGGGTTACTCAGATGGAGCTAGAGCTCATCTGGTGGTCTGTTCACATTCACTAAAATTGCTCCTCCTCCTACAGTTTTGGTCAGAATATAATCAAACATGTGATCACTGTGTGTGAGTTCACCCAACCTGTGCTCAAGCTCAAGGTTGTTTTTGTGGTTTTATGAGCACCCAATTATGATGTACTGAACAATATTCTATTCAGGCCATTTAGTGAAGTTGTTAACCTAAGATCCTGGATATGACTGTTTGCAAGCGTCCTCGACTTCTCGGTGGATTTTAATTCTCATTATATTGCGCATTGGAGCCAACCAACGACAAGTGGACTTGCAGCTTTCTTTCTGCCCTGCACAAACATTTAAAATCTGTGATTTGTCTTGGGTCATGAGCCTAATGAGCTACTCTGTCATTGATGTTCTGGTTTTAAATCATATCTAGGGACAATTCAAAATGTCTTGTTTGGGTTTCTGCTAACATGACTGTATGAAGAAAATATTCTGTCCACCAAAATAACTTTAACAAATTGTTTGTTGGTCCTTTAAGTGTATAAGTTTTATACTGTGTCCACCTGGATTGTGAAAGGAGGAGTTATAGTGGCAGATAGGATTTCACAGATCCAGCAGTGAAAACTCTTGAGAGACCTTGACGCACGGTTTCTTCTTTTTGCGTGTTTTGCCATGGATTCTAATTGCTTTGTGTTCAGTGGTTTTCTTCTAGACTCGATAACGTGTTCAGTTTTTGTGCACAAACAACAGACTCTTTTGAGTCAGATTCACTCCCACGTTTGATGTTGTCACTGTTTTCACAAACATCCATCCTTCAGTTAGTCTTAACTTTGTTTTCTGGGTGGTTTTTTTTTTTGTTTTGTTGTTGTTTGTTTATTTTGTTTTTGGGTTTTTTGTTGTGGTTTTTTTTTTTCTAAAAAAATATATGTTTCTGTTTTTCTCCAGAGCTCCATGCTTCAAGGGCTACCAACAACAAGACAGCCAGGAGCTTCTGCACTACTTACTGGACTCCATACGAGTAGAAGAAACTAAAGTACGCCTTCATACATAATAGGCTTTCATGTATTTCAATAACCCATATGATTTTTCTAAGCCCAGAATAAGAATTGGGCGATGTTTTGTTAGATTATGTTGTTCAATCAAGCACAAAGTGTTTGTGGTTTATTTTTGTCGTCTTCATTCAGGTGCATTTAGAACATTTTGTATGAGATAAATTTGCAGAAAATATGAACAACATGAATACATATTAAGGTTATAGCAAACATTAAGGCAATAGATTTATGTGTTTTAGTTTCAATGTGTTTAGGTATAGTTTTCTGCTGACTAGGAAATATGTGATAGAAAAACAAGATTTAATTTCCGTCTAGATTCCTTCAGCCTCCTCTGTTTCGAGATTATCTGCTGTTTTTAGCTCACTTTGTGGAAGTCCCTTTCTGTCCTCTTACATTTATGCTTTGTAATGGGTGTTGAATCACCTGCAGTATGTCCAAAAATTGACCTTTTAACCTAAATTTAAATTCTGGGGAAGTGAGAATTTTGTTCTTTTTGCCACACAAAACTTGTGTGTGCTGGATCAAAGTTGCTGGCACTGCAGTTCAAGTTTTCACCAAACTCTTGTCTTAAAAACATCAAAGTCTTACAAAGGGAGCTCTGTCTTGACAGTCTGAGTCTGCTGGATGAATTTATGGTACACCCTTTTAATGTCAGGAAAAAAGCAAACATAAGCTTGCTTCTGGTCATGGTGCTGCTGCCTTCAGTCTTGGATGCTGCAGACTCTTTCAGTGAAGAGTGCTGTTTGGTCTCTGGGTCATGGCCACAGACTCAGCTCTTATTGCCAGTGAGAAAAAATATCAGGTCAGTTAGACACAGAAGTTGATATTTACTTGTGGAAATTATCAGAATAGGACTTCCATGACTGAAAACGAACTGCACAGCTAAAGGTGGTGATCAGGGAGTCGACCTTGAAGGGAAAGTAGACAAATTTAATGGATTTTATCTATTGACTTATTTTTTGTATGAGCAGAGTGACAAACATGATCACACCTCATGTCAACATATAAATATCCAAACCTAAATTGGATGGATAACACAAAGTACAACCTCACAGAGGTGCTTGATTTTTAAAGTTTGCTCAAACACTCAGCTCAATTGCTTTAAAAAAAATGCACATTAGTAACTTGGTGATGATAGTTCAATCTCACATGCTAATAATTAAGTTAAAAAATGCATCGGAATAATTCAGATGGTTGATTTTTAGCTCCAGCGGTATTACAACTGTGTTTATTTCAAAAGCCATGAGGAGCTAATCATTGTCTTACTTGTTGTTAGTTCTATCAACTGCTCCACATATGCATTGTGCTGTAATTCAGTAAAGATCTTAAAACTTATCCTAGATGGCTATCACCATAAGACATTCATCTGCGTTTTTGTGGGTGGCTTTGTTCGCTCACATAAACCCATGTCATCTTTAGCCAGCAGTTGTGGTCAAACCTTATGGTGCCATGTTTTTGGCAAGTACAGAGAACCCCTGCCCCCACAACCCTTCATGGGGCAATTAGGAGACCCCACAACAGCCCATTGGAGGGCTTAGCTGGCCCCTGTGATCCCACCAGTGGCTGTGTGAAACCAAGGAGGAGAAGTTAGCGGGTGTGTTTAGTGGTCAGCCCCGGGCCCAGGAAAGGGCCACGGGCTCGGCTCCCCTGTTCCCATTCAAACTTGTGAACAGTAACAGTTGTGCCACTTAGGGGACTTGCAAGTGGCATAACCGGCATCATTGTGTGATCTTGGGAAACCCACAGCTGCTGAATGAGCTCCAGGGCCGTCCCATTGTGCTTGAGGGTCGCCCACAGCCTCCTCCCAAACACACATGCACACACACTCATCAGCCCGTCTCCCAATCCAATCAAGGAGGTAAAGAGGGAGGGGGGGGTATGGCCTCCGCTATTCATTGACTCAGAAACTCATTTATGCAGCACATTCAGAGATTCAGTGGCATTTTAATCCTACATTAGCGAATGCCTTTTTTAAAACTCATAAGTCATACCAGTTACTAATGTTTCTTGTAAAAATCAAAGCATTATTATTATCCCGTGTTCTCAAACAGAAAAACAGGATGCACACATCAATTCATGAAACGTTGATTCATTCATAACTGGAATAAACCCATTTGCTTCTTATTTGTATGAACACACAAATTTAATATTAGTGATAGTACATCCACATCATTGTGTGTGTGTGTGTGTGTGTGTGTGTGTATAAGAGAGCGGGAGAGCCACGATATTGTGTTCACTGTGTGTAGCCAACCTTTTAGAGGCCCTAAGTGTTTGTGTTTAATGGCCATTAGTATCAGAGATCTGAATATGCTAATTTAGACCCAGTCAATTATCACCAATTAGCTGAGATGGGAGGTATTACCCTCCCAGGGCATGGACTGTCCTTCTTTGCCCTGTCTTCATTTTAGTTTCCACCCCTGCACACTTGTACCAACTCTCTTCACGCCCCCCGACCAGATTCCCCTCCCTTTGGCCCATCCTGTGTGAGACGGTGCATGCTGTTACTTTTGGGGGAGAGAGATAGAGAGCATGGGGGTTACTGGTAATTAATTAGTAGGAGAGCCACATCCTGGTTTGACCACGCTCTCTGAATGAGGTGCAGACTGGCCGGGCTGGGATTAACAGGGTTTTTTGACCTAAATAGCCAGTGCAGTGTGTGGGTCCCGGGACAATGGGGGCCGACTGGTCTCGACTCAGACATGGACCATGGCCAATTATCTATTGATTGGTGCTTTACTGTGGCTGTGCCTCTTCACAGCTCTCTCACAACACACTCACTGACCATGTCACCTCCAATAAGACAACGACACACACACACACACACACACACAAACATGCACATTTAATTAAGTGATTTACATGATAACATTTTTGGACAAGCACAATAATTATTTTACACTAATGATGCTTATAATGGGTATACCTGTCAGGCTCAGCTGCAGGCGAGATTGTGATATGTCACTAATGGATGTAATAAAGAGAATTCAAGAAATATCCCCCCAAAAATGCATTTTATTTGCATCATTTATATAATTAATTTGATTTATGAATATTACCTCAAATGTGACTTCTAGTATTTTTCTGGTTTTGTTATATGCAGAGGGTGAAAGCGGGCATTTTAAAGGCGTTCAACAATCCTACAGAGAAGACAGCAGACGAGGAGACCAAACGCCAAGTCAAAGGTTCGTATGGAGGCGGCACACGGCAGAGATCAATAGTTCCATCTTGTGGCATTTGGAGGAAATGCAGTTAATTTACTCCTGAAGCAGAGGACAGTTTCATGAAGAGAAGAATAAACATGCTCATGTTTTAGCGCACCCTTCCAGTTGTGTATCCAAAATTGATTGTGTATAATCAGTTATTTATACAGCAGCTAATAAATTTAAATAGTTAATTATGATCTGTGTCACGTGTTTTTTATTGACCCATGTTCTTCCTTTGTCTCAGCAGTGAAAGTAGTCCTTTATTTGCACTTTTTGATCTCATTAATTCTCAATAGTGATTGTAAATTGTGATGCTTAATAGTGTTTAAAATGGAAATTATAGTGTTGAAAATTTTGAAGGTAATCTTGTAACAGCAATAATCACAATTTTCATGCATAAATAATAAAAGAAAACCTTTTGTCTTTTTCTCCATCAGCATACGGGAAAGAAGGTGTGAAGATGAACTTTGTCGACCGCATCTTTGTCGGCGAGCTCACAAACACAATCATGTGTGAAGAGTGCGAGCACGTAAGCGAGTGAAATAAAGCAAAGGACCTGAATAGTCGGGAAGAACCAATCAGGCACTGCTCTGTAGGGTTTTTTCCCCTCTGTAGAATTAGAACGTATGAAGCACATGAGGGTTGACAAGCTGGCATTTCTTAAACCAACCAGCTCCGACACGAGTCGCTTTTTAATAGCCGTGTAACCTAGTTAGGACTCATTGTGAGACATTTCATGCCTTAATTATTTGATTTTTTTTGCTTTGAATGATTGTCACAGGAGCAGCACTGGTATTTTTCAGTTAGTCAGAAATTGACAGACATTTATCTCTAACCAGAAATGAAAAGACAACAAAACTAAGCAACAAGATTTCTTTACCAGCTGTGACGTCCAGGAAACATTCCAGAATTAATCAGAGGTAACAAATGGAAGTCAGTGGAAAAACAAACATAAATCATTTCAAGGACCAGCTCGAATACCAACTGTTTACAGCAGGCATTTACAGTAAATTGTGGAAGCTTAGAGTGGTTAACAAAGCACATGCCTCTATGCAAACTAAAGAGTATCATTGAAGATGGAGAGCAGCAGGTGTGGAGCTAAGAAAGAGGAGAGGAAATGAAAGCATTTTCAGTCATCTTCTCTTAGACTGCAGCAGAACTTTGATTTTAACTGTTGAAGAGATTAAAAGTTTATATCATGACACTGACTTGCAGTTATTTCTCTTTCAGATATCCACAGTAAAGGAAGCCTTCATTGACATCTCTTTGCCCATTATAGAGGAGAGGGTGAGCTGCTGTAAATTACATTCATTGTGGATCATTTAAAGGATACAAATTAACTCTCTGAGACAGTTTGAGCTGGTAGTTATCTCACAGATTGCTGGGTTAGTGGTGCATTTCTCTGTTTTATGTTTTTTTTTTGTTTTTGTTTTTGTTTTTTGTTTTTGTTTTTTTTTACTGGCCAACCCCATCTGCTGAAATCAGTTCAAAGTCCTTGTTGAAACTTTTTCTTTGCACCTTCATGTTTTTGTTGTGCTCAGATATCAAAACCTTCCAACCCTGGTAGGCTGGGGAAGGGCACCCGGGAGCAAGAGAGCCACACAGCTCACAGTGAGCAGGTTCCTTCTGCAACACACTCTGTCAACAGAAATACCAGGAAGCTGAGTGGACAGGTGAGACTGTTGTACAGGTCTATTCTGCTCCTTTTCTTGAGCATCATTATTATTATTATTATTATTATTATTATTATTATTATTATTATTATTATTATTACCGCTGCCAAGAAGGTTATGTTTTTGGTAGTGTTTGTGTGCATGTTGTTCTGTCTAGAAATGCAATCGTATGGACAGTTTTGAATGAATTCTCCTAAAACTTTTTCTGGGTGTAGATACGTGTTAGCAATCCATTGAAATTTGACCATGAATGGCAACCACCAAGATCTGCAAGACCAACTTATTATCTGCAAATTGACAAAAAGCCTTAGAACTTAGGAACTATGATTCTTACAAGTATGGTGTGTATTGTCAACATATAGAAAGTACTATAAAAATATTACAATTTATTGACCTCAGGGTCAAAGTGATTAATAATGCTATTTAAAGAGCTAGAGCTATTTAATACATTTTGAGTATAGTTGATTTTCTTCTGACTTTATATGCATTACAGTAACTGTTATAACAATTCAAATACACAGCATTTAATTGTTTTGGGGTTTTTGTTTGTTTGTTTTTTTAGGAAAAGAAAATAATAACGTTTTTTTTTTCTAACTAAAGATTGAAACAATGTCCACATAAATAAAGAAAACTAAAGAATAATTGTACTCATCATCGAGTACATTAAAATGGGGTTCACCAGGATAAATAACAAAACCAAACTACAAACTTCTCAAAGTACCTTTAAAAAGAACAAAGGAAACAAACTGAATATATAGAAAATGCAATGCTGTTCTCTGAAAAGTAAATACTGCCCAGAGAGTGAGCTGCCTTGGCAGAGGTTTTCTCTCTCAGAGTGCTTCTGGTTGTCCTTGTTATGATCTTGGTCTTTTCTCTTTCCTTTATATGAAAACTGCTGTAGGTATTTGGTTTCTCTGACATTGGTTTCTGTTTTTCTAACGCATGATTATGCATTAGATGGACTTGCCTTCAGTATTCATGGGAAGGTGTTGTGGTTTTTGGCTTTGGTGAGAGTTCCTTTAGAAAGACTCTTAGAATGCTTGTGTACAGATATGAGAATTGTATTTTATTTTTTTTTAATGAATGAGAATTTAAAATAAAAATGCAGTATCCTGTGTGCATCCAGTCTTCAGTGTGCATGATAATGATAATGTACTTGTTCTCCCTTTCCACAGAAGCAACAGAGCAGGAGGTCTTCCAGCTCTGTGGAGGAGAAAGGAGCAGGCTTTAGTGGGGACCGACCAGAGGATGAAGGTGTTGCAGGTGGATCAAGCCACTGCGTCTCAGTTTGTAAGATGGCGGCTGCCGGCAGCCTGTCGGACGGCAGCGAGAGAGACTCGGGCGCTCAAGACAGCAGCAATGACGCCGACAGCGAGGCCTCTGAGAGCGAGTGGACGCCACGTTCCTCCAACCAGAGCCACAGCCACAGGCACATGTCTACCCCATCATCCACCTCCACCCTCACTCCGTCCCCTACGCCTGTCTCCGCCTCATCTCCTTCTTCATCGTCTTCCACAAGGCAAGGCGGCGCTGTGGAACAGCTAGTTAGCGCCGTCTCTAAAGTCAACCTGAGCTTCAGCTCTGGGGACTGCTCTCCATCTGCACACTGTTCTCCAGAGGAGCACGGAGAAACACAGAGCCGAGACAATCTCCACCATCAGCACCACCAGGGGGCCTTCCAGGCTCTGTCCCACAGTTACACACCCAGTTCCAAGGAGTGCTCCATCCAGTCCTGCCTCCACCAGTTCACCTCTGTGGAGCTGTTGATGGGCAACAACAGGCTGCTCTGTGAGAGCTGCACTGAACGTAGGATGAAGCAGCTGCGCAAGAGCAGCTCAGCAGGTAAAAGAAAACAAGCATCTGGAAGCAGAGTACAATGCTTTGAGGATGAGGAACCAGCATTTTCTTTACAAGCATATCTTAAATTATTTCCAGATTATTGTACATTTGAATCCCAGACCACAGGTTGTCTGTACGCTACACGCAAAACCTTCCATCGGAGTATTCTTCACATTCTTTACAGTTGGTTGTGTGGAGTTGGTATTTTTGTCGTTGTGGGTGGGAAAGAATAAAAACATACACAGAAAATTGTCTGTCCAATCCTGTAGCGGTCCACTTCTTTGTAGTGTGAGTCATAACATACACAGAGCTGAAATCTCAGGCCTTGGATCTGGGGACTCACTCTCATGAGCTGCTGCATGTCTTCACATATCAGGCTGCTGCTCTAAAACGACCGCTCAAGTTTGAACAGACGTCCAGGAATCCATACTGCCCATACTGAGTGGCTGATATTATTTTGGCTTGCTTCTGTGTTTGTCTAAATTACTCAAGTAGTTAATAGTTGTAGCTGACATTACTGTGTTTTTGTGTTTGCATAGATAAGAAAGTGGAGAAGGTTTACACCAGCGCTAGGAAGCAGATGCTCATATCCTCACTGCCTCCTGTCATCACATTGCACCTGAAACGCTTCCACCAGGTAGGCAGCCATAACTCTGTTTTCTTCAGCAAAATCATCAGTAAGTTTGAGAGCCTAATTGTTGATTGGTGTGTGTACGTGTGTGATTTTGTTGGTTTTTTTCTCTCCTTTAAGGCAGGGATGAACCTCCGTAAGGTGAACCGCCATGTTGACTTTCCTCTGATCCTGGATCTGGCTCCTTTCTGCTCTGCGTCCTGCAAGGTTTACAGTTTAAATTTTCTGAAAACTTTCCTGCACCTTCAGATTTTTTCCGTGACTACATCACTTTATTGGTTCAGCTTGTAATGAAAGTCCTTGGTTGGTGGTAGTTTTTTTTTTTTTTAAAGTTTAGTTTTACTTTTTGCTAATCTTTCTTTCTTTTTTTTCCCACTAGAACCTGGCAGCCGGTGAGCGTGTCCTCTACAGCCTGTACGGGATTGTCGAACACAGTGGCTCAATGCGTGGAGGCCACTACACTGCATATGTAAAAGTGCGCGCTCCACAGAGGAAAACAGAACAACAGCACAAGAACCTGTCAGGTCAGGGGCCAGCTCTCCTGAGCTCTTTCAAGACCTTCTATCTGTTATTTTCTTTCTGTGTTTTTGTAAGCTTAGTCAGTGTTTTGGCAATAAAACCCTGACTCCCCTGTAACCTCAAAGATGTCCTCCACAAAGAGCAGGTTGAATGGAAGTTTTTTGTGTTTTTTGGAGCCATGTTTTTCTCTTTCCCTCTTTCATTTTCTTTTTATATCGTGTCCAGGTTTGCAGAAAAGCTGAAAAATAGCTGAAAACCTCAAGGAAGAAGTTTTCCTTGCTGCTTCCAAAATAATGTTAAGAAATGATGTCTTACAATAGGAGCTTTTAGTTGGCGATGACACACAGGTCTCACATCTCTACAATGAATGCTGACAGACTGGTGAATCGAGCAATTTCTTATCTTAAGGCCTTGTGACATCTCTATTAAATGAAAGTTTGTCTTCCTCAACATTTCTTCTTCCTGATATAGCTGCTCAATGTAAAAGTATTAAAGTAACTTACTACAATAATTTCATTTTAACTCAGCTAAGCTTGAAAGTATTATTTTGTATATATAATCATGCTTTGCTTTTTTTCATGTGAGAGTAGTTGGTAAAAAAATGTATCTTATTGCCAACATGTCTGCAGGTCCTTTTTAAAAATGTGTTTTAATTAAAGACTTTAAAAAGTATTCAGGTTTTTTTAATTTATGCAGTCTTGCTGCTATAACACGCAGATAATAGCAGTGAGTTAGCCTGTTGTAATCTGTGACCTTGTTATTTGAGGCTTTCTGTCTGTTTACTTGATGGCCCTGGTCTTACCACTTAGTTACCATAAATCGAGTGTTGTCAGCTCTCAGAGCAGAGTTTAAAATGCCCCTTGTGACATTTTGAGGGTTATATAAAGTTTCATCCATTGTAACATATAGAAAATAAGAAGAGCACAATGAGTCCACTTTGAGCTAGTTTCAGCACTCCTTACTGGCTAGCATTATTTTAGCTTTGTTGCTATGGAAGCATGAAGTGACAGCTTGTCCCAATATTTACTCCCAGTAACCCAGTATCTCTTTGTATTTCCACCCCCCGACTCCAGGAGGAGCCTTTATGCCTCACGATGTTGACACTGTGGGTTTTGTTTTTGTTTTTTCCCAGGTGCCAGGGACACCTGCAGCAGCTCCCAGGGCCAGTGGGTGTATGTCAGCGATACCACAGTTCAGATGGTACCAGAGTCAAGGGTACTCAACTCTCAGGCATATCTGCTCTTCTATGAGGAAATCCTCTAACATGACAGAAGAAAGTATTTATCTCTAGAAAACCTCCTTTTGCTTTGTGTTGTTTTTGCAGAAGCCTGTAAACTCCTCTTACTGTATCTTTGGGTGTTTTGGAGGCAAGAAAAGGGAAGGATTTCACTGTATACACCTTTGTATTACTTAAATTGGCACCTTTAAATATTGTAGATGTATAAAGGATAAAAGGATTTTATTTTGTGGCTTAGAGATTTTCATTCATGTTCTGTTTTTTATTATTATTAATATCATCATTATTATGAAAAGCCTGCTCTTTAAAAAGAGGCTAGGTGAAAACCAGAGTGTTATTGAACCTGAGCTGTAACACAAATGTTACGGTCTGTCTCAGCCACAGTCACGTGCCTGAGATGTAAAATGCATGATAGTTTACAACTATAACTAACTGGAAGTGGCAGAATTTTACTGCATGCTAACCTGTACCCGGCGCCTATGAGTTGGTGTCGGTTGCGTGTATTTGTGTGGGTGAGTGAGCGAGAGACCAGTGAATGAAGTTTGAAGGTGCTGTGTACCATTTTCACATCAGTAAATGATCGCCAGCTTAAATCAGACTTGGCAGTCTGGTTGTGTTATGAATGTAAATGCTCCGCACAAAATATTTGAATTGTGAGGCAATGGCTTCAGTGAGAGCGTGATCATTAGTGACAGTAAAGACGAATATAGACGAGGAGGAGCCGAGAAGCAGCATTCTGTGGAGTTCACTGGAATCTGTGTTTGTACATTTGAGACACCCAGTCTGAAAAATCAGCCTTGGCTCTGTTGACGCAGGATACACACTGGCTTAACATACTGACTGAAGTTGCCACACAGCACCTTTAAAGAAGTAGCACAACATTATTCTACTTCGGCCTTTTTCAAAAGGATTGTTTTCTTAAAATCAGAATGTATAAATGTCTGACTATCAGTGAATTGAATTTGCCAAAGACAAGTTTGTTTGGTTTTTTATTTCTGCGGCAAGTTTGAGCCGAGTTTCTTTAACATACTCTCCCTCAAGGTCATCGGTGTAGTTCTCCCCCCCGCAGGCAGGCGCACTTGATGTTTATCGCATCAACAAAGCACTTCTTCTGCCTTCATTGTATTTCAGCTCCACCCGAACACACGAAAGTGTCAGACAAACAGTCAGCACCACAACAGACTTGCTCTTCATTCTCTAATGCCATGAATAAGCTTGAGCATAAACGAAGAAAAAAAATGAGAGAAACATGTTAGAAAACAGTTTAAAGGCTTAAAAAAAAGGCTAATAAGAAAAACCTCTTTCTGTATTGTGCATGGGTTGATGTTCTAATGAATGTATTGCCTATTCTTCAAATGTCCATGACAAATGACCTGTTTTTTGTTTTTCTATGAAAATATTTTAGATTCAACTACTTTTATTTCTCCTGCTTTGCCAAACGATTAGACAGAAAAGAGTTCAAGTTATGTTCACCTGCGACAGAAAAAATACAAAATCTGTGCCTCTCTTCACGGTTAAGAAACCCGTGCATGGTGAGAAGACAACTTGCAATCATATAAAGAGGGATATGCGTGGGTTATTTATGTACAGTATTGCTTACTGTAAGCAAAAACAGTACTGAGTGTATGTAATTGTACATATAGGACAATACAAACTCATGGTGCTCCAGGCGTGCAGGGTTTCCTTCCTCAAGACAAGTTCTTGCTCCCAGAAAAATATTTAAATTTGCTTATGGAATGAACATAAAACATAATGTATAAAAATAAACCTAATTTATGAACAGTATATTCAACGATATTCTTTTTTTTTCTTTAAGCTTCTCTTGTGCAACAGCTCTAGTAGTAGAAAAGAAATCACAATAGATTTAATGTTTTCTGCTGCTAAATTGGTGTCATGCTGGGTTTTGTTTTTTGGGTTGTTTTTTTTTTTTTTTTTACTGCAAGCAAGATGTCGTCGACAGTCTCCCTCTTCCTATCTCGGCTGTCACTGCGGATCCCGCGGTGCCACATTCAGCCAGTCTTCGCCCGTTATCGGCCGTGACGGGTGCAAAGCAGCACTGCTTCAGAACATGTCGGGAGCTGGTGAAAAGGAGGTGGGTGTGGAATCAGGAAAAAGGGCAACGTCCAAAGACATTCGCCCCGCGCGTTCTCTCACTCCCACACGCTGTGACATCCCGGCCGTGCGACTGGAACATAGAACATGTTGTCAAACCGCCACCAAACAAGACGAGTAAATCTTTTCTGAAGTGCGTTTGTCTATTTTTAAAGGGGGGCTTTTGGCTGGAGGACATGCTGCTGAGGCATTTGATGTGATTTAATCTTGTGTAATGAAAAGCGCCCTCCCTCTGCATGAGACAGTTTTAAGAAACTAATAAGGTGCTGCTGTGGAGCTCGTCTACCAGCAGTGAAGGTTAAATTTTTACTGCTCTCACTGTCAGCCTGGCCCAGCTGCACACCACGCTGCACATGCACTCGCTAATGTATAACACGCTCAACACGTTTTCACATGGAAGCATTCACACACTTGGACTGCACACGCCTCAGGCTTTGTTCTTCACAGGGAAAATGCACCAACACTATACCAACAGAGTACACGATGGTATTAAATCACACCTGCACACGACCTCTTCAAACACACGACATGTTCTCATAAAGTGCTTCAGTTCTGTTTTAGGAAAAATAGTGGGCTCCATCCAGTCTGTTTAATGCTGGAATCCTGCTGATTATGGCTTAATTTATACATGCCAATAAATAAGTCTTAAATTATGCAGTTTGAACCTCCAGAATGACACTAGCACCTGTTTATGCTCAGCAAATGGCTGGATTCCCAAATGGACACAGCAGGTGAAATAAGTATTGAAAGCGTCACAGATTTTAGGTAAAAGGAAAAAACATTTCTAAAGGTGCTATTGACATGAAAGTCTTACCAGATGTTGGTAACAATTCACACAGGGAAAAAGTTTTGAATGCAAAGAAAGGTACAGAAAAACCAGAATCAGCAAGTGTTTCAAAGGGGGGGGGGTTTAGTAAGGTGATGATCCCAAACACCATCAGGGAAACGCAAATGGTTTCAGAGAAAGAAAATAGTGCTGCTAAAATGACGCAGCCAATCACCTGACCTGAATCCAACTGAAAGAACGAAACCTCTTGTGTGTGCTCCAATTGTGGGAATTTTGGAAAAACTGTGGTGCATTTGATGGCACCATAACATCACATCAACAAGGTCATGGGTTTGAATCTCCTGTGTGGAGTCTGCATGCTCTCCATTTAATGCCTGGGTTCTTGCCAGGTGCTCCAACTTCCTCCCACAGTCCAAAGACATGATTGGGGTTAACTGGTGATTCTAACTTGGCTGTAGGTGTGAGCTTGAATGGCTGTCTGTGCAGCTGGGATAGGTTCCAGCCCAACTGTGACCTTGAAATGGTTAAGCAGGTGAAAATGAATGGAAGAATTTTCAGAATATAAATATGTCTGAGTTATTTATTTTTAATGTGAACACCAACATTGCTTCATTCTTCTGTTACTCAATATCATAAACCTTAAACTGGTGCTGTTTGCTATTAAACCTATGATATTCCCCATGATACTGATGCTAACAGTTGGTTATTAAAAAAGCTTTGTGAAACAAAAGCTCTGCCACTTGGTTTGGGTGTAAGATTGATTTGCTTGCCATTTGTAACAGCGTTTTACAGCTGTGCGAATTTCATGTGGGTATCTCCTGTACTTAAGAAGTAATGAAGGTGAAAAATACTCAAAAAGAGAACACAAATTAGGAAGAACCAAATTTCGACCCAGCATCTTGAACAATAATAAAATATTAAAATGTGACATGCACAATCTGTGGCTGCATACAAATCAAGTGTTTGACAATGAAGTGTTTCATTTTAAATGTGTTATTGGAAGAAAAAAAATTCAAGCTAAGAAGCCTTTGATGTTAAATGGCTGTGGCTACTTTTTGTGCAAAATATTCATTCATTACAAATGAATTATTTTCTGCAGTTTTTTTTTAACTAGTTAAAATGATAATAATAACTGATGATCTATACTTTGGAAACTATTTAAATAAAAATGTGCAAGAAACATCTTCAGTTCTAGTCTTTGTCGGATTACCTCTAAGCCTCATGAGCTGCTACACAGACATAGCCTCCACAGGAATGAAGCATACGGGACTGATATTAGGCTAACCTGCTTACAGCCTTATACTGTTTTCCAGCCGTTTTGGTGCTGAGGCACGTGATCCAACCAGATCACCAAAGTCACCATAATGATTGTAAATAATAGAGATGATCTGATATGTTTGAGTGTTGGACTTCATGTTATCAAAATGAATACGGAAGCGCGATGGTCGTTCAGATATGTTGGGTTATTTAGTAATAAAAATAGGTATGCTGGTGTACAAGGAGAAAAAGACACATGAACACATCCATCACTATGAAGTAACTACTTACACTATCTATAACAACTGCTGATATCTAAACCATCCTTAATCTGTTAGTTGTGCTCTTCCCACCTTTCTTTTGAAAGAAAATTAACTACTGACGTCCCACAGTTTTCTTTCTTTCAATTTCCTTTATTATTTTACTTTAGGCTGTTTCATTTTTTTCTATTCTAATTTTGGAAGTTCGCTCACTCAGCTGAGTTTTGTCAGGGAGCTTGATGATAACAACAAGAAGAAGAACTGCAGAGAAACGAGCAGTCGAAAACAAAAAATAGACGTTTCATTACAGGCTTAGAAGGGTCCCTACAAACAGGAAGGCCCTGGGTAGATTTGTTGTTTCAAATCCAAATGGCTGTGGTTCTGAATGCACATTGCGGCACATGCTCTATACCCTCTATGAGGGCGTACGTTGAAAGGCATTTCGGCATTCCAGTTACATGAAAACTACGCAAGCTATAAATGGGTGCTAAAATCACACTGACATCACCATCTGAAGCCTTTGGCGTGCTGCCTTCACTTGCTGCTCGTACAGAAAAGTTTCAAGTGGAAAGACTTTTTTTCCCCTTCCGTTTCATTTTCAGTTTAATACCATTTATTCAAGGTTTGACAACAAAACTATTATTTGAGGTTAGGAAATGCACCCGTCATAGCTACAAAATTTTAAAATTAATTAAATGTATTTAATATCTCAAATTAGAACAACAAATTCAACTTTTTTGACATAGGACAAATGAATGTCCAGTTCACAAGCACTGTATTGCACATACAGTCAGAGACTAGATTGAGTATCTCTTCGACCTTTCAAATAATCTTCCAGCAAACTTATACTAACCATGGATACTGAATGATTTGTAACTTTCCTATTTAGTTTGAAGGCAGCAGTTCTTCTTTCGTACTTCCTCCGAGCAGCTCGCCTGTACAGCCATTTTGATTTGCGACCGCATCGCCGGAACGAACCCGTCAGGCAAAGGTGGGAATTCTGTAAACTCAAAGCACAGCTTCAGTTTAAATTTCAGCCACTCTTCTTTCCCATTATGGCCTAATTTAAATGAGTGAACCTTTGCTTGGTTGTTGAGAAAAATGTGGTGCTAACTGCTGGTTTTCAGACACAGCCTAGCCTAGCTAATATTAGCTCACGTTAGCATGGCTAAGCTTTCTTAGCTAAAAAAAAAAATTAATTAAAAAAAACAAAAAAGAACCAATGCACAATTCCCGAATTAATTTCAGTATCCTATGTAAGTAACGACACAATGTCTCACATTAGGTAGCATCCTAACGTTAAGAGGGAAGTGTCTCCCAACGTACAGCTAGCCGGTCAGTTTGAAGTAGCGTTAGCACTTTATTGCAGCTTGCAATTCCATTGCCATTTGGCAAGTGTAATTCTACACTGACACACCTCTCCATGTTGAGAGTGCACAATACAATTAAATGTAGCTGATCTGGGTGTTTCAGGTGTAAATCGTGAAAGGAGCAATGTGGGACCAGGGAGGACAGCCCTGGCCGCAATGGCCTCTTAGCCAGCAGCAGTGGATGCAATCTTTTCAGCATCAGCATGATCCAGGTTAGTGAGTGATGCTCATGCACCACAAATGGCATTTTTGCTCCCTCAATAAAAAAAAAAATCTAAATATTTTACAATGGATTCAAAAACTGCACTGGCAACTAGTCTTAATGCACTTTTTTCCAGGTCAAGTGGACTGGGCAGCCCTGGCGCAAGCATGGATAGCCCAAAAAGAGTCTACAGGAGGAGAGCAGCAGAACATCCAGCCCAATGGTCAGGACATCCCAGGCCTCGAATCTGTTGGACAGAATAATCACAGCAACTTTCAGGGTGACCCAGCATTTGGCAGAATGTGGCAACCAGGTACACAATTAAGCCTTTGAGCCATGGCTCTCCCCCTGGGAAAAAAAACTGTGGAGATTTCTCTTGTGGCTTGTTTAAGTATTTTGTGTTTAACAGAATGGGGAATGCATGGCCAGCCCCCTCCTCCTCCACCCCCTGACCAGGCCTGGATCCCTCCAGGGTCAGGACCAATGGATGTGGTGAACCCCAGCGAGGACAGCAACAGCCAGGACAGCGTGGAATTCAACTCTGAAGCCCACCATGGGGTTTACCCCCAGAACAGCCATGGGTATGGGGCACAGCCCGACAGCTACGCCATGGCCCCCATGGCCATGAACCAGTTTGATTATCAGGTATGCAGATGCTACGGTAGAAACTGTTGAAGCGTTTTGGTTTTAGTGTGACAGCCAAGTAGCACGAGAAGGAGCAATCCATAGACACTCTGCCGGGTCCGAGCATCTAGGCGTATCAGTCGTTTGCTTTCTTGATGCTGTGCAGAGGAAGTGTTGGCTTGTTGAGGATCCAGCATGGTTTGTTATTACTTTATTTGTTGAGTTTTTTTTCTTTTCCCCTTTTAACCCAAGTATACCTTTTAGCTCAGTAAGGAGTGGGGAAAGACAACAGCAACCCCATACCTAGTGACTGCCAAAACAGAGGACCTTAAGTACTTAGAGCTGACTTTAATTTTGAGTTTGTGCTGTCTCTCAACAGCATGGAGCTGCCTCATCATTTGCTCCGACACCAGCAAGCTTCCACTCCCCGTACTGGCAGGGTCCTCCTCAGAACAGACGAGATGCCAGACCGCCTGGGTTTCGAGACAGGCCAAGATCCCCTATCCAGCTCCCTGTCAAACCTGAGGCCCCAGCAGCACCATTAGGTGAGTCCTGATGTCTGAATTTATTTATTTATTTTTTAGTTAATTTATTTAAATTCCTGAACTTTCTAGAAACATTTCAAGAAAATGGTATTGAGGTATGAGATAAATATCAGTAGATGACTATATGTTTAAATAATCGAAGTCCTTATTCCACCTGTGTTGGCTTCATTTTATATGCATACAAAAGGTATTTATAAAAATTTGGTTGTTTAAAAAAAAAAAGAGTCAAATTTAAATAGGTGATAGCTGTAGAAACCGATGCACCATATTAATACAACAACTTCTTTGTGTACATGGATTTGTACTGGAATAGTTTAATCGTTTGTAAAATATATGTGGATAACACGTTTGATCTCCAGATGCTGTAAAGAGACGCACACTACCTGCATGGATCAGAGAAGGTCTTGAAAAGATGGACAGGGAGAAGCAAAAGAAGCTGGAGCGCGAGCGGATGGAGAAGGAGCGTGCAGAAATGGCAAAAGATGACGTTAAAGGCCATGAGGCCGATGAGGGTGGTGATGGCCCACGTCTGCCCCGCAAGAGTAAATTTGTAAGGAACTCATTTAAGACACATACTGCAAATAGTTTTGTTTTCCCTCTTCATCTGTAGCAATGATTGGCTATGTTTTCTTGATTGAAACTCATTCTTCTCTTCTGTTTGCATCAGGACAGTGATGATGAGGGCAATGATGATAATGACAATGACAACGAAGAAAAGATTTCACTAAAGAAAGCATTTTCTGCGCGGAGTCCCTCGCCCCCTGCAGAAGACAGTGAACCTGAAATGACTGAGGAGGAAAAGGAATTCCAGCTGGTCAGTTTGAACTTTCAAATTACATTCAAGTAGTCAGATTTGAGTGTGATTGTGTAGGTTCTCAGTCCGGGTCATGGCAGTTTTGAGTGTTCGAAAAGGAGGCAACTGGACTTCTTTTCTGATTTGTAGAGGTGAAATGTGTTTACAAACCAAAAATGTCCAGTTGACTCCTTTTTGAGCGCTTGATTTTAATCTAATTGTTGAAATTGATAAAATATTGAGATGTTTGTTAATTTGTCCTTGTTTTAGATGGTGATGACAAAAACACTCCTGACAGAGATCCTTCTTGAGGTCACAAATGAAGAGATCCTGCATGTGGCTAGAGATACTCACAGGAAAGCCACTCGAGGTCTGGTCTTATATTTTCCTCTTTTTGCATTATCTCTGCTTGTCACAAAAACATTATGTTTAAATCTGGACAGAATTCGTTACGTGCCTCTTAAAATTACTCCGTAACACCCTGTAAGTGAGGGTGACTAAGCAGCATACATCAGAGTATGTCTGTCTGATATGCATTTCCAACCATTCTCTGCTAATGCATCAGGACACAGCAGAGCAGTGTTTGTCACAGACAGTATTGAAAACCTGTCATGGTATTGGAGGTGCTGCTGAATGGCTGTAAGACTGAATAAAGTCTCAGCGCTGACTCACCTGTAGATACAAGAGACTTCCTCCAGTGAAGTGACTGTGCATTAGTACAGATTGGTTCTTTCGCTCCTGTCCGACTGTTTGACTTGGATGTGTGACAGAAGTTTGTTTGTTAACCCTCTCTCTTTTCTCCATTTCTTTTGTTTTATTTTATTATTTTTTTCTCTTGTTACCAATGGCAGCTCTTGTGAATAGTGCTTTATCTGTGGCCCCCATCCCTTTCTCTAGCGACTCTTGCCTTTGAGAAAATGGCAGTATGTGTTTTAACATGTTGTTCCTGTTGTTGATGTGAATCAAAGCTCCTGCAAAACAGCTGGCACAGTCAAGTGCACTGGCTTCTCTGACCGGTCTCAGTGAGTATCCCTTTTTCTGTCACTGGTGGGGAGGGAAGGGAAGGGAAGTTTCTTTGATTTATAGTCGGGGTTATTAGTCGGAACGTGGGAAAAGCTGTTGGCACAAAGCGTGACACCCAATATTTCACTGCTACTATTTAAGGCAAAAGTGGCATCTGACTTGCTTTTTAGATCTGTGCTTTGAAATTAGAAGCATGCTCTCAAAGACATTACAGACTGTTGAAAGTGTTTAAGAGCTGTATGTGTACTCCTTGTTAATAAGAGGTTTACTGGTGTGAAGTATAAAGTTAAACAAGATTAAGTGCCTTTCATGGGGACCTTGAGTTTGGATTGAGTGGTTTCATAAGTGGAACCTGATTTGAGAGCGGATCTTAACAGTTTCCAACACTCAACAACCTGGGGGCTCTGTTGTGGCAGGCGGGCTCGGTGACTATGGTTCAGATGAGAGCGAGGATGAGGATGGCCGTAGCGTCCGAGGATCCGAATCCTCAGACACAGATGAGGAAGAATTACGTCACCGCATCCGGGAGAAGCAGGACGCGTTCCGCCGCAAAGAGCGGGAGATGCAGCTGCTGCAAGAGAAACAAGCTCAGGAGGCGCTGCTAGCACGTGGTAAATATTAAATGACATTTGTGCAATGTGTGTTACTAGTTCACTTTTAACCTGAGTCTTTGTTTTCTGTTTGTACAGAAGAGATGGCAAAGGAGAGATTAAGTAAAGAAAGGGGGGAATATGATGAGAGTCAGTCAGAATATCCACACAAACAGGACATGAAAGAGAGGGAGGCAGAGCCCTTGGCAGACAGGCGCAGGTCCCGTAGTGAGAGGGAGGGTAGTGAGGGAAAGCATTCAGGCAGAGGGAAGGAACGCTCAGGGAGAGGCAGCAGCGATTCTCCCACCAATGGTCACAGCAGCAGCTCCCGCTCCACCTCCAGCCACAGCAGCAGTCGATCTTCCTCCTCCTCATCTTCTTCCTCAGCATCTTCCCGTAGCTCCTCTCGATCTTCCTCCCCGCGAAGGAAAAGGAGACGTAGTCGCTCCTCATCCCACAAAACCCGGCAGCGCAGCCGCAGCCACAGCTCACACAGGCATCGTAGTGATCGCAGTGAGAAGGGCAGGGACAGGAGGAGGAGCAGTGCAGAGCGATCAGGCCGCCACAAGAAAGATCGGAGTGATTCCAGGGAGCGCAGGAGTCGAAGGAGTAGATCTAGGTCCAGAGACAGGGCCAGAGAGAGGGCCAGAGGAAGTCGCAGTCGCAGCAGAGACAGGGAGAGGGATAGAGAGAGGAAAAGGAGCCGGGAACGCAGGGACAGCAGTCATAGTCGCAGCAGCAAACATAAACAAAAGGCCTCTAGTAAAGACAGAGAAAGGAGGAGGGAAAGGAGTCGTAGTCATGAGAAAGACAAGAAAAAGAAGGATAAAGATAGAGACAAAGAGGTGGATAAAAAGAAGGAAAAGCCAAAGGCCAAAGAGAAGGAAAAAGGGAGCTCTGTAGTTAGTGAAGAGAATGGCAAATCGAAGAAAAGGAAAGAGAGCGAGTTAGGAACCGATTCTCAAACTGACAAGCACTCGCGACATGATAGTAAAGCCAGCAAGAAGGGCTCGGCCAAAGCTAGCAAGAGGCACTCAGACTCTGACTCAAGTAGATCCCCCTCCCCTGAAGTTAGCAAGGAAAAAAAATATAAGAAATCCAAACGTAGTCGCTCAAGATCGACGGAAAAATCTCACAAGTCTGGTAAGAAGGCAAGCCGCAAACACAAGTCTAAGTCGCGATCAAGGTAGTATTCGTTTTTTTCTCTTTCAAAATACTTTATAATACTGTTTTCATTGTGATTTCTCTCGAGTCTTTGATCTGTTTTAGTAGCTGAGAGGAAAATGTTGGCTGTTATGAAAATTTAATGTTTAATACAGCTACACGTGCCTGACTGTGTAAAGTCAGGTCTCATGAATTAAAGGCTTAAATCTTTCACAACGGTTTTCTATGTCAAATGCAAATATGCCATGACTGAATACTAGCAAGTACCACTTCCCTAGAGCATCTGCCTGATTTGTCTGGTTCCTGGCCAAAATAGAGGGCGAAAATGTCAAATTGAGCCAAACAAACAAATTTGTCTTTTCGCCATGTTCTGCAGTTTAATTTGCATCTGTAGAATTTGTATAACATCAGTTTTTATGGAAGTTTTCTGCCATATTTATAGTCTTGACAGTATTTTTGGTGAAACGTGTTTTGTTCTGTTGTGCACTGCAATCAGTGTCATTAGTGCAGGAATAATGTCGTGTTCATAACTTTCTTTCAGGTCGACGTCTCCCTCCCGTCGTAGCAGACGCTGAGGAGCACAGTCACTGCCCTGATCTGTGCACTTTGCCATTTTAAATTCCATGAGTTGAACAGGCTTGTCTCATTATAGAGGCAGTTGTGTAGGTGAAAACCCCCTCATACTTTTCTTTTACTGTAAATATGTTCTTTTTAAAGTGTGCCTGAAGAACAAGTTTGAATGGTAGGAGTTTCCATTATCATGCACAGTTTAATTACACACTAAAAAACTCAAGTGAAACTGTGTATATTTTAAAAAAAGATTAACTTTTTCTCCAATTATTGTAAGATGTCTAATAAACTGTTTCTTGTCTTGCCTCACTACCTCTCTGACCTTAATTCAGTATTTACTAACACAGTATTTAATGATGCGTGTTGCAATTGCATTAAACTTAACCATACAAAGCAGGTTCCTGCTACTTCCCGGAGATTACAATAATTCCCACTTTAAGGCTGCATGTGTTCAGCTGTCATTGCTGCTGGATGGAAGTAGTGTTAATCATGTGATGCAAAAACCGTGCATTGATAGAATGAATGGTAGAAAGTAACTTAAAACATTTTCTCAGTTTTCTGAAGAACGGTTGCTTTGTCCATAAGTATTTACAAGTTGTGCTACTTCTGTTCCACTAGGTACTGCAAATGGTGCACTTTGTATTCCTTACCATATTTTATATAAGTTTTAGAGTGTCACTTTGTAAACTAAATCTACAAGTTTGTTGCTGTTTTGTTATAAAGCAATGCAGCAATATTTAAGTGATTAAATAAGTTATTTTAATCAAATCAATTTAGATCTACAACATCAAAATGTAACTTAGAAATCTAAAAGGTTGTTTTGTATAAGAACTTTTACTTTAGGAAAAAAATATTTTTTGATGCTGTAGTTAGGATAATGGTTTCTGTTTAAAGCATCAAATTGCTTGTTTGTTCATGCTGAAAAACAGTTATTCAATATAAAATATTAACACTTCAATAGTTTCACTTCTTACATAGCACATCGTTAAAGGCTCTCAGCTGCAGGTGAACCTGAAAATCATGCCCAGTGTTTGGTACACCATTGTTTCTGATCTTTTTTTTTTTTTTTTTTTTATCCTGGAACATAAAAATATAACATGAGCACATCCAGACAGTTTTCTGAAAGGTGATGCTTGGATTTGGCCTTGGAAAGAAAAAAAAACAACTCCTCATGTCATGCATCCCAACAGTGAGTCCAAGCACTGACGAGGGAGCACAGGTTAGTGTACCACATGAGTACTTGAAGCCTGTGCAGGTTAAATGCTTAATCACATTTAGAATTTGGAGACAACAGTCAACACAAAAATCTTCATCTCACGTCCCTCAAACCATTCAGATGTTTCCACTGTGCCAGAAACGCTCTTGTCATAGGTGATCTTACTGTTTTGTTCCACATGTGAACATAATACAAGTTATCACAAATTACACCCTAGTAGTAAAAAAATAGTCATCAGTAACATATGATTGGCCAGTGAAGTTATCAGTTTTGGTTTTTCCCCAGTGAGTAAACTTTTTTTTCTGTTTGTACAGAGATGATTGGCACTTTAAAAAAATGAAACTGTAGTTAAATGTTTGATCAGGCATTACAACTGAGAGCATGACTCCCACGAATCCATTTTAAAACATAAAAAAAACTGGGAACAAACAGAAAGCTGTCGAACTTTCATTTCCTACTGTGCAAACACTGATTTTTAGTGAGTGATTTGCAATATCCGATTTCTTTACTGATGGATCCTATTAACCTGCAAGTGATTACTGGGTAAAGTGTATTGGACAAATGAAACTAACCAAAGTCATTAGACTCTACATTGTCCAGTTGGTCAGGTCTCAACTGGGACTTTTTAATTTTTAAACAATTAAGGAAGAACTTGGCATACTTTTACTGCTCATATTTATTTTTTCGAATACCATAGAGCAGACACAAGCAGTCAAAAAAGAAAACTGGCATAGCATAAAATTAAATACATAAAATATAAATAGATGAAGAGTGGCAGAGGCACTGGGTCCTTAGCAGCTCAAGAGGACATGGGGAATAATTGAAAAAGATAGTCAACGTCAATGATGACGAAACTGAAAATAGTAACTGTAATCTGGAAGCAGACTTTACAGGGGAGCATCTCGCTGGTTTTACCTGAGAGGCCCGAGAAACTAGAGTGGAGAAGTGGGCTCATCTCCAAAGGCAGAGGAGGGCAGCAGTGCAACGGCGACGGTGAGAGCTGCGCTTAAATCTCAGCGTAGAAGAAGAAGGAAAACCAGCGACGTTGAACTCCAAAGACGAAGAAGACTGTTTATTATGAACTTCACAGCTAGTACCTCGATGGTTTTATGACATGTACTCCAACAAGTTTCGCCGCCTCATGTTAGGGCTGCACTGCCTTAAAACAACCGCTGTTTGCGGCCTGGTCCAGAGGGCCGCTGGTCGAAGCGGGTTCGGCTGGACTGCGGTGTGTAGACAGCGGACACTGTGGCTGCAGAGGAGCGCCTGTCGGGAGATAGAACGACGTGCTGTGCTCCGTCAAAACGGGTATTTAGCAGACACACTCGTGTGGTGACACCTTCCTTTCCAGTGCCACACTGTATAAGAATATTTGGGGGACCGGAAGCAGGGCTAGAAATCAGTATTTTTTTAATTTTTAAAAGAAAAAAAGAAACTAAAACCCAGTGAAATTTAGCAGCATACAGCTACTGCTTAGACTAAGAGGTCCGACGAGGCTCACCCTGGTAGCTCTACGACTCTGGACAGCTGATACATAGTGCATCATAAATATGTTACGGAAACAATTCTAATTACTACTCTGAAATTTAATACAAGCATCCTTTTGCATCCAGAAAGATAGTCAGGTTTGTCATTTTGTTAAATGAACTGGACTGATTCGTGAAATGTGTGATGCTCCTCCAATACTCCGATACTTTATAGTCAAAGTATATTAAAGTTGAGTACCTTTGTGGATGGCTATCATATTAGAAAGGCTTCCAAGCAGATTATCTCTGCCCAAACCGATTCATTGCTTACAGACACGATTTTCAGTGTCTTGATGTGTCCTGTGGCTGAACACTTCACCATTTTTTTAGAACACTAAAAATGCTGCCTTTTTCTTTTACTCAAGTGATAGCATTTTGAGCATGTGACTTATGCATGAACTAAAAAAAAAACAAAATTCGGCACAATTCAGCATTTGTAAAAATTTGCACGTCACCAGAGACTGCATCATTACCGAACCATTTTACACGGGTTTTTTTTACATGTCTTTACTTGGTTTTAGCAAGATGAACTGAATGAAATGGGTACTGAGGGTTAAATACCAGCACAACCTTTTGTTTTAGAATTTGCATTTGCAATTTGCATCTTCAGAAACTATATGTTTGATGTCAGTAGCAAAAGGGCTTGGTATTTTGCTTGTTAGATTAACTCATTTTCTTCAGTTTTACTGCACTCAGTATGTCCAAAGTATGATGAGCACAGCAGAATGCAAAATACTGGATAGGATAAGAAAAACAGTAAGCTCACATATGAGAGCCAATGATACTGATATTGGTACATAGCCCAACACAGTGCATCCAGAAAGTACACGACTGCTGGTGTTTCATCATGTTACATCCTCATTCCAAAATGATTAAATTCATTATTTACCTAAAAAGGTCCACACAATACCCCGTAGTGACACGGTTAATAAAAGGTTTGCTTTAAATTCTTTTAAATTTACTAAAAATAGCAAACAAATATGTTTATATATGTATTCAAAGCCCCCGCTATGACACTCAAAATCATGTACATCCTGGTTCCACTGGTCATCTGATGATTCTATAACTTGATTGGAGTCCACCTGTCTAAATAAGGCCCCACAGTTAACAGTGTATGTTGGAGCACAAACAAAGCAAGGAATTGTCTGCAGACCTCTGACACAGGATTTTATTGAGGCACAAATCTGGAGAAGGTTAGAGAAAAATTACTCTTCATCAAAAATATCACCATCATCTGTAAATAGGAGAAGCTCTGCCTGAGTCAGGTAGGTGACCAAGAAAGCGATTGTCAGTCTGACAGCTCCAGCGTGGAGAGAGGAGAAACTTCCAGAAGAATAATCTTTTCTCCAGCATTACGCCAATCAGGCCTGTATGGGAGAGGGTCAGACAGAAGCCAATTCTCAATAAAAGGCACAAGACAGCCCACCTGGAGTTTACCAAAAGTCACTTGAAGGACTCTCAGACCATGAGAAACAAAGATTGAACTAAATGCTAAACATCATGTCTGGTGGAAACAAGGTATCGCTCATCACCTGGCCAATACCATCCCTACAGTGAAGCTTGGTGGTGGTAGAATCATGCTGGGAGATGTTTTTTTGGCAGCAGGAACTGGGAGACTAGTCAGCCTTAGCTTGGATCTCAGACTGGGGCGAAGGTTCATCTTCCAACAGGACAACAACACTAAGCACACAGCCAAAATAACAAAGGAGTGACTTTAGCCAGAGCCCAGACTTGAACATGATTGAAGTTTGAGATCTGAAAATGGCTGTGTACCAACTCCCACTCTGTCCAACCTGATGGAGCTTGAGAGTTTCTGCAAAGAAGAATGAGAGAAACTGCCCAAAGATAGGTGTGCAAAGCGAGTAGCATCAAACTGAGCAAAGACTTTGAATACTTACATGGCATATTTTTTTTCTATTTTTAATAAAATTGCAAGCATTTCAAGCAAACCTTTTTACTCATTATGAAGTGATAATCAAGTCCATGTTGGAATAAAGCTTTAACATGACAAAATGTGGAACAAGTGAAGTGCTGTGTATACTTTTTGGAATATGTGTGCAAACAGCTCGACTCCACACACTCAACACAGCTGTCGGGCTACTCAGCTGCAGGTTCTGGAGAAGAATTTTGAATCAAAAAGTATAGTGAGATTTTTATTATTTATTATCGACACTATAGAACAGTCTTTTGTTGGTTCCTTGTTTATTTGGCTTGGTTGTTTCCACTTTAATGGCTGTTTTTTGTTTTGTTTTTTTTTCCACATGCAGCGTTCGGTCAGCCTCTCACAGCACTGTGGACCCTGATGAACTGAGGAAGTTCCAGTCGTTGGCAAACAAGTGGTGGGATGAACAGGGAGAATTTGCAGCTCTTCACGCCATGAACGACCTGAGGGTGCCTTTTATACGGTACACAATCCGCCCGTCAATCTTCATCAGAGGCGCCAACAGATGGTGTCAACGTAACATAACCCAAAGGAAAGCCGGGCGGCCTCGTGGTATCTGAAAGCAACTTGTGAGGATACAAGGAAAAATAAGAGAAATTGAAAGTGACAGGGTTCTTCCAAATATCAGTACATTTTCAGCCAATAGTGTTTCAGCTGCTTTGGCTCTACACGTGTGCATGTTTTGGGGGTCGGCTGGGGCTGTTTTGATTGATAAGATCTGTTGTTCAGGACCCTTTGCTGTAATCATGACAGCCATCCAGCCAAGAGCCCAGTGCTGTGTTCCCCTCCCCCACCCTGGGATCTTCTTGGTGGTGGTGGTGGTGGTGGTGATGATGATGTGTGCTTATAGTGACAGTATGACAGATCTAGTGTCAGTGATGTCTGAGTGGGGATGATTTGCCCAATAAGATTTTACCCTCAGGGCAAGTTGAAATGAGAGACAGCAGCAGTGCTGCCACTGTTGCTGCTGGAGCTCTGCGACTCTGATAGTTCATCCTGCCATGGTGCCTTATTTTCTTCATTGTTTCAGTGTGTGCTTTAGTTCTGTAATACATGGTGTTGTACACAGACTCAGGATCTGTGCAGATACCCCGTGTAGTAACCAAATGCAATGTCTTTAACAAAACAGGGTTTAGTGTTTGATTTGCCTTAGTTATTAGCAAAATGGTCTATTTTGTCCTCAAAATGTTACACTGACAGCAATACAGTGAATCATAACTATACACGCAATGGTGACAAATTAAAGGAAAAAAATCTGCCCTTTATTGTGAGGAATTCGGAGTTTCCATCATACTTGTCCTCTTATCAAAGGATACAGATTTATGGAGTGGTCTTTTCCAATATGGCAGTTGTAACCTTCTGTAGGATATGAGTGGGTCACTGAAAGGTTTGATTATTATGAAAATGATGCGAACCATATGCTACAGTTTTCACAGTCAGCTGATCTCAACGAAGATATTTGGATCCATATGATAGATGGCTTACTCTACCAGCATCACCAAAGTGAGGGAACACAGTATGATAGGGAAAAAATGTAGAGGTCATTATTTGACTTTTTATTCATTGTGTATGCAAATTTACCTGTGTGACAAAATGTTTACCCACAGTTTCTAAAATATAAAGTTGGAAAACACTCAGAAATACTTCAGGTTTGAGACTGAATTACTTTTTGGGGTTTTTGGTTCATTAAGTCAAAGTAAATTTTATGAAAATAATCACTGAGTTCATGCTAACAGTAATGGTTTATCATGTGCTGATAGTTCAGCAGTAGCTTTTGTCTGGCTCTGTCTGGGTGGTGGTAGTGCGAGGAGGTAGTTAGATGGATGTAAGTATATTTTGGCACCTTAGCAGAGCTTTAATGACGAGCATGATGTGCAGTCAGGTCTCAGCCTGTTCCCATGTTTCGGGCCTCAGGCAGGAGGCTGTCGGACTGCATATCAGGGAAGGAAGTGAGGATGCTTGTTTGCTGGCTGACACTGTTGCTCGGAGCGATTTGAGAGAAGATGGTGTAATACAGCATGGAGTTACCCCTACACTTCTTCATGCTAAGCGGCTTCTCATAGACTTTGGAGGTTCACAATTTCATATCTGCCCACTGTTCTTTTACTTTTAAGCGTTAGGTCTGTTGTATAGTATTCTGAAATATCTTGAAGACTTGGGAATGGGAGATATATTTTTATATATTTTTACCTTGCACAGGGATAACCTGCTGAATGTGCACAGAGCGCGCCATCCCGGGAAGCCACTCGCAGGACTGAAGATCCTGGACGTTGGTTGTGGAGGAGGCCTGCTCACAGAGGTAAAAAGCGTCCGAAAGCTGCAGACTCAGAGCAAACAACAGCGCCAAAGAAAAGCGTCTTTCCTGCTACATATTATCTGTCTGGGCGCAATTGTTTCAATTGCTACCTTTCACGTCACATTGAGTCTTTTCTTCCCTCGTGCAGCGTAAATATGTGCCTTCGATGTGCTTCAGTGCCAGGCTTCTCGCATGCATACGCAGCAGAGCCCGGATAAACATTTCAACGTCAGCCCGGTGCTCGTTCTGCTTTGATCTGACTGGTCACGGCGTGGTGGATCGGACAGTCGGTCGTTTACAGTTGTTTATCTGTTTGTTAGCGCTGATAGCTGCATGACTGGGACGGAGCTTTGATGTGAGCTGAGGACTCACCAGCTGTGCTGTGTGATCGCTGAAGACAAAATCAGGTCCTGTTCTTATACAGCTCCATCACACAGGTTGTCTTATTGAGACACAGACACACATGATAAGAGCGCCTGTTAAGGCTGTGACTGTTATTGTGTGTCTGACCGTCTCTTAGCTAACAGTCCTACCATCACACGGGATCAGCAGCGGAAGGATGGATAACAGGCCCCTGGGCGAAAAAGCTCTTCAGTCAGACTTGGATGTTTAGCTTTTGTCCACAGGAGGGCACCGTTCACACCAAACCCTTATTTAGTGCATGTTCCTGCATATCGCTGCTATGTTTTTCCCCACTCTCTTTACAGTGCCAGCACAGCGTCTTGTGGAGATGAAATGATGCTTTACTGCCATGATTGATATTGTTTTAAATGTCACGAGTTGTTGTCGTTGTTGTTGTTTTGGGTTTCTTTTACTCAACAACCACAAAATCTCTTGTATTAATTGACATGTTTTAGATATATTATAAAAGCCTAACATTGAATTCAAATAACTCTCATTAGACCTACACTGTGCTGTATTTACCTGCATGTAAAACAACAATCCCCATTTACTAGTTCTTCTTCTTATGAAGACGGACAGGTTATGGATGAGTGTGGATGAAGTGAATGATGGAAGTCAGGAAATTTTCTTTCTCTCATTAAGTTTTGTATTCCAGAATCTAATAGTTCATGCAAATCGGTGCCTATTACCCCCCCAGTGAATATATTACTAAGGCTTGTGGAAATGTGAGTTCCAACACATAATCAGTGACTTCAGTCAAATGAGCACAGCATCCTGAAGAAGACAGGTTAGATAACAAAGCAGTAACATTTCAAGTTTGTTAGTACAACATTATTTGTGTGTAAGAGTCAAGTTTTTCTACTAAGACTAAGTAAAATATGAGTTATTGTGATACAGATATATATTTTTTTATAATGCAAGACAAATGTTGCTCATATTGTTAGCTGTTGTGGTTGAACAGTGACTTATTTTGTTAAGTATTTAGCATAGTTAATATGATTGATGTATAATGTTATATTTGTCATCCAAAGAGGACAATGAAAAATCTTATTCCTCAAAGCTAATGCAACTAATATATTATTCATTTAAAATGTGTGCTTTGTCTACTTTTATCATTTTTAATATGGTTTTGTACTGTCTGTTCTTCTTTTAAGTGAATCGTATTCGGCTCTGCTTTTTTAAAAAAAAGTTTGACGTGCAGTTCTCTGCTCCTCATCCTCCTCCAGCCCCTGGGTCGTCTGGGAGCTAAAGTTTTGGGTATAGATCCAGTGGAAAACAGCATTGGCACCGCCCAGCTGCATTCGTCCTTTGACCCGGACCTATGTGAGCGGGTGTCCTACCAGGTGTGCACCCTGGAAGAGCTCTCAGGAGGAGAGGATGAAGGAGCGGGACACTTTGATGCTGTGGTGGCGTCTGAGGTTGTGGAACATCTGGCTGACCTGGAAACGTTCGCCTTCTGCTGCAGCCAAGTGCTAAAGGTGCTGTTTGTTGTTTTATTGTTTCGTTTTGTTTTTTAATACTTTGACTCTGATATTTGTGTATTAATACTGCACTTGTGTTTGCATATCAGGTAGAGGTTCCCTCTCTCTGAATTAGACAGTTATGGGTGCCCGAGTCAGCACCGGGCTGGACAGGGTCTGTGGATGACCTGCTGTTTTTCTGTGTGTGCCTTGTACTTATCATTGAAAAGTTTCAGTGAAAGCCGTGGTCCATACTGCAGCCTGGGGGTCAGAGTCTCCTAGGTTAGTGGGCCAAAAGTAGCTGAGAGGGGGGGAAAAAAGCTTAATACAGGAGGTTAAGTCATGACTGGAATTCTTTCTCTCTCTCTGGTCTAAATCTTTCTTCTGCACTTTCATTAAAAAAAAAAACCCCAAACACAATAATGTTTAATATTTAGTATTTACTGTTATATTTCCATATATCATCGTGATGTTGTTTATTGTATTGCTCTCGTTTTCTTCTGCTTGTTTTCTTTTTTCTTTCTCAACAGGTGATCCAGGTGATTGATATATGTATTTTTTTTGTCTGCTTATTTAGTTGGTTTTTGTTTTTTTGCCCTTTATCCCCGTCCCTCTTCTCCGCTGTTTTTTCCCCCTCTTCCTTTCTCCCTTTTCTTTTCCTCATTCAAGTCTGTCCCGTATCTAGCAAGTGAAAATAAAAAATAAATAAAATAAACAATAAAAGGTGAATCAAATGACCATTACGGCAAGGCTGGGATGGTCAATTTGGTAAAGTAAATCCGTTGGGCATCTTTCTCGCCTTTAGACAATAATTCTGATGGCAAAAGACCAAACGGGACAGGCAAAAAAAAAAAAAAAAAAAAACCCCAAACATTTAAATGTACTTTTCTTGACCACGCATACATATATTTTTTTGATGCTCATGCTTTTATTTATTTTTTCTCTCCCCCCCTGTTCAACCTATTTTTCTTGGCCTTGTTGAACTTTGAGGTTTGGCATCCTTCCAGATCTCGCGCGCTGGATTTTGTCCTCTGAAAGCCTTAAATCCATTCTATAAATACCCTGCTGCATCTCGTAGAAGAGCTCCTCCCTTGTATATCACCTGCAGAGGTGTCATGAAATGTGTTTCCAGAAGTAACGCAGTCTATTTAATTTATATTTCATGAATCAAACCTTTCCATTTTTGCTCCCTGTGTGCAGCCAGGTGGCTCACTATTCATCACGACTATAAATAAAACCAACCTGTCCTACGTGCTGGGCATTGTTGTAGCGGAGCAGCTGCTGCGCATCGTGCCCGACGGGACCCACGACTGGGAGAAGTTTGTCAGCCCAGTAGACCTGGAACGCCTCCTGGAGTCTCGTAAGTCCCTTTGGAGGGAGGAAAAAAAAGAAGCTCCCACTGATTATAGAAAACAGACTAAAAATGCAAAGTTTTTTTTTTTTAAAATAATTAAGTGGGCAAATCTATGTGGAACTAAGTAAATATACCATATTACAAAAGGTCGCTACAAGATGTAAAAGTTTTTTTTAAAACAGCAGTAAATTTTGAGGATTTCTGTGTCCATAAATTGTCTGCAAAGCTCATTTTATAATTCGTGTTCAGGAGTAGTGCAAAAATAAAAATCTAATTTTGCCTTTTGTGTTGACATCAGTGTCTTCCTTCTTTGTTAGATGGTTTCTCGGTGCAGTCTGTCAAAGGAATGCTGTACAACCCCCTGTCGGGAGCCTGGAGCTGGACCGACAGCACTGCCATCAACTACGCCCTCCACGCCGTCAAACTGAGAAAACAGGCTGAGGACAGCAGCCTCCACCCAGAGGACCACACCATAGAAAGTAGCAGCTGAGCCACGCCACTTGAGAAGAAATCCAAAAATGAGAAATAATAACTCAGACGCGAGCGGCCCTGACATCCTGTCGGCCAGCTGTGACGCAGCACATGAGACTGAGTTTATTCAAGGAAAGGGACAAACTGCCTGCAGATAGAATTAGAGATGTGCTGCATTTGGCAGACCCATTGATGCTGTGCTGTGCTGCGTGAGCGCTGAATACATGTCTAGTGTTTGATAAGCTGTGTAAAGCAACGGTGCATCCTTTAATTGTGTAATCATTTTCAGCATATGCTGTCCTGCGTCAGTGTGGTGTTTGAGGCTGAATAGTTAAAGGTTTGCAACATCCTCCATTAAAACTGACCTCACATCAGTTTGATTTCTCAAGAATGAACGCATGAGAGTGAAAAATGTGATTATTTGGAATGCTAACAAACAAACATGATTTCAGGTTTTTAAATGTTAATATTAATTTATATTTTGTGTCCACAGAGGGGAGGGGCAACCATTTCCTGTGGGATTATAAGGGGTCTGGTCTCATGTGGAAGTATTACATAATACAGATCTCCCTCGTGCAGAGAATAAGTCATGCTTGCATGATGGTCTTAAAGAAACCAGAAATATGACTGTAGAACACGTGCAGAAGCTAAAAGAGCACGCTGTGAGGACTGAGCACTACACCTATTTCAATTTCAGATATGTTGACATTTCACCAGTTTTTAAAAAAAATGCTCTTTGTATATACATATTTTAAAAAGAACTCTCCCTCTCACCCTCTGGGGGGTGGTATGTGTGTGCTCCTCACGTTCAGGTCCTCTACCAGAGGCCTGGAAGTTAGAGTGCTCTGTGCAGTGTCTTAGCTGGTCCTTGGACTGCACTCTCCTGGATGGAGACCTTTGATGTTGTGCCTGGAATCTGCTCAAGCTAATTTTCCAGCTCCTTTATGCTTCTATTACCACTAGGACCACTTTGGACTTTACCTTCCACATCTGCTCCAGATGTTTCTTCAGCACCTGGTTCTCCATTTTCTTGTGCTCCTTCTTCCCAATGTTGCTGTCCGGTAGGATTAAAACATCTATGACAACTGCGGTCTTCTGTTCCTTGTCAACAATCACTACAATACTGCTTGGTTTGCCAGCAGCTTCTATGTGGAAGTGGAAGTCCCACATGACCTTACTCCTGTTGTTCTCAACCACCTTTTGTGATTGAGGACTTGGGGACTTCTAGTCCATATGCAGCACAGATGTTCCTGTACGCTATCACACCCACTTGGTTGTGCCTCTACATCTATGCAGTTCCAGCTTGCTTCTTACATCCTATTACTATATGTTGGATAGTCTCTGGGGCACCTTTGCACACTGTTCAACTTTGTTCCCTTTGTAGACTCAACCCTCTATCTGATGCCTAGAGCCTGTTCTTGTGCTGCTGTGTTAGAGACTCTGCGCTGTGCTTTAAGTCTGTGTTGTGCCAGAAAAATGATTTCAGGAATTTGCCCCAAAATGATTGTCTATATTTAAACTGTTTTAAATGACTTGTCAACCCACAGTCTGTCAAACACATGACAAGCATGTCTCTTAAGAATGATATCAAGCCATTTTGAGCCAGAAATAAAACAGTCCTGTCACAAGGTAAGAAGCTGCAGTCGGTTTTTGGCAAAGTGACTTTTATGTATCCTATATTTATCTAGGTAAAGAGCGTCATTGACATCAAAAATGTCTTTTTCACGAGCGATCTGGCCAAAAGTGCCATTTAAAAAAAAAAAAAAAAAAGTGTCATAAAGATGCTTCCTGGTGTCAAAGTCGTTTCCTCTATCTGCCGACAGTATATCTATGTGTGTCTTTACTAAATGCCTTGCTCCAGCAGTGCCTGCTGTGTCATATTCCCAGACTGGTTCAGCAGTAAACACCAATACACGCTCCTGCTGTAATGCGCGCTCCCGAGAGCCACGAGGCCGCGCGTTTAACTTGCCGTAGCCATGGCTGCGGTAAGCACTCACCCTCCTTCACTGACCTGACGGGGTCAGACAGCAGCAGGCAGGTAATTGGCACCAGGATGATACCGGCGGACACGTAACTACTGGATGTTCTTTTGTCCGAGTTGTCTCCATCCTGTTCTCGGCATGCTCGACAAACAGATCTGGAACTCACCTGCTGGATTAAAGCGTCAGGATGAACGAAGTCTTCCACTTCCAAAGTTGCTCCAGAGTGAGTACTCCTTCCTATTAGTGCATTTACCACTAAGTTATACAGTTAGACTGTAAGTAGAGTCTATACCCACAGCACACCGCGGTCACAGCACAGGTGGCATAGTGGATTTGCAATCCGTGTCTTACTTTTCTCGTTTGCGTAATGTGCTTCAGTGTGATTGCACAAACACACTGCACTCCATAGAATCAGCAGTCTGTAGTAGCTGAAGCGGAGCAGTCAGTCGGTTGGAGGCCGCTTAAAATGTAGAAGCGGAGCAGAAGGGCTTATCATCATGTTTGGCTGCTGTTGGCCAATAGTTTGTTTTCGTGGTGGTGAGTGAGTCTCTGCGTTCAGGGGCTCGCCAGGGCGGGGTGGCTCCGATCCTCCACCGGAGAAAGACAATAGGCCGGCTGCATGAAGTAACCGGCATTTGATTAGACAGCAACGGAAGTTGCCCAACTTTGCCACAAAAATAAAAGGACTGGGTAATTCTTTTTTGCGTTTCTAGCCCTCTTTTTACCTTGATCTGATGATCAAAATGTACACTCCACTACACGTAATATGTGCTGTGAAAGTTATTAAGTTCTACAGGTGTTAATCACATAAGTTTCTTAGCAGCTCTATGCAGAACTTAATTAGATCAATTACTTCTCTTTCTTGTAAACTCTCGTTTCTATGGTGGGGATTGGACAACATCTTTTTGCAAACCAAGTGTATCTGACTAAAGCTCTTTGAGAGACTCAAAAAAAAACCCCAACAACCTGGAACAGCCCTCCACCTTGAACTAAACATGTAGACGTAGCTTTGCACAATTCACAGTTCAGATTAATTCATGTTTATCTTAGTCTGTCCCTTGAGAAAAAAGGAAGCACCCATTAGTACCTCGAAACTTTGGTCAGATGGGGATCTGCCATATAAACAGAAAATAAGGGAATACATGATGGGCCTGCTTTATCTTTTTCCATTATTTGGAAGCAAAACAGTCAAATAATCTTTGGTCCCAGCTACTTTAATTTGTTTTTGTTAATAATAAATTAAACCTATTTATTTGGTCAGACAAATCAGATAATGATTCGACTACTTTTAAACTATTAAAACATTTCATGAACAAAAATGAATAATTTAGTTTATATCATGTTCAGATTTACGATAGAATTCCATTCACATGATATGTGATGGAAAACTAGCAATAACTAACAGCCACTGTGTACGGTTATTAAGAGCAGAAAATGTTATTTTGCAAGTAAAATATTAGGTGCAAAAAATGTAATTGTAACAGTGTGGACACTGACATTTATTTTGAAATTAGGGACCGGAAGTCCCTAATGTTGCCATTGTTATTCGCGCGATAATGCTGGGCAGATCCTGCGAAGGAAAGCGAGCTGGCTGCCGAGCCTCATCTCAGGGAGTGATGTTCCAGATATTTACCTTTTCCGCTTTCCTGGATCAATATTAGCCACACCGCCGCCATGCCGTAGACACAGCGCCGGGGGTCTCGATGAAGCCTAACGGGGACTGCAGCAGGGAGGACGCGGGGCGGCTGTAACCGAGGGAAGAGGATGTACTGGGCTGCTGGTTTCGCCTCTTCCCGGCCGTGTGTTGTTGAACTGGGGCGGAATCACAGCCTGCCCATCGGGCTGTGCGGCTCCGAGCAGCAGCAGTCGTTGTATGGCTATATCATCGCCTTTCCTCTGCAGGATTACGGAGGCATCATGTCGGTTTTGGGCTCGGACTCCTGGTGGAAGAAGACCCTGTACATCACCGGGGGGGCCCTGCTGGCTGCTGCAGCCTACCTACTGCATGAGCTGCTCGCCATCAGGTAGGGACGCGCAACATTTCTGCGCTCTTTATCATCTTTATCACCACCAGGTTTCTGTTTGTTTGTTTATTTCTTTTGCCTCTCGGGGCTCACGTTTTGATCGCACCCACCCCCGCTGACAGTGACTGATGAGTGACACCGCATAAAGCATTATGGATACAGGAGTGTGTACATGGGGATGTGGTTCCTCTGCAGCTCTCGCGGGAAGAGGCTCTTGCTGAGGTTGCCGTCCCTCGTTTTCTCCTTCAAAGGACACGACACTAGGTGGAGACTTAAAAAAAATAATTAATAAGCGAGTCACGCGTCTGCTCGTGTGCCAGTTCCCGTGCAGAACACATCGGCACCTGAGCGTGTCTAAACGAAGCGCTCCTCGGACGCTGCGGAATCAGCCTGACCTTTAATGAGCTGAGACACAGCAGCTGTCCGCGTCATTTACAGTTGTTTTCTACAATGAAAGCTGGTGATCAGTATGCGGTCACTGTAAGAGAGATTAACACGGGACTATTGTCAGAGCACAGACCGCCTGGCTGTGAATGGACGGATTATTTATTTTTTTTCGGCCAGGCCAGTGCCAGGAAGTAAGAACATCCTGTTACAGTGGCCTGGTAGTTTCTGCTTTCACTCCCCCCTCCTCGATCCACAAGCTGCGTGAACCGTGCATTTCGTGCAGAAACTCTGAATCACGTGCAGGCCGCTGAGGCTGGCCCCGCAGCCTGCCGGCGTCATCTGTCCGTGCCATGTGATGTATTGTTGGCAGAGCTGCTGCTACGACTAGTCAGCTTTTGTTCTCCTTTTCCCAGCTGAGAGATCTTTGAGAAGTTCTTTAAGTGGTTCCTCTGAGAGACGAAGCACCACAACGTGCATGGAAGAAGGACGGCATGCGTAGAGCAGGCGTAATAATATGATGTCAGTTTCTCTGCAGATTTAGAATATTTTCAGCACCATGTAACTGTGGACAGCTACCAACGAGACCTGCGAGGTTTCAGCACCACAGTCAGCTCAAGTTTATTTATTTAGCATCACAACCAACAACTCCTAGCCACCACTGTGACAATAGAGAGGAAGAGCTCCCTTTAAACAGGAAGGAATCTCCAGCAGAGCAAAGCTTAGGAAAATCAAAAATATTTGCTGTGATCTCAGCCGCAAACAGGTCAAACCACAAGCTATGGGAGAGACTAGACAAAAGTTAATGGCATGCACTAGATTTATTTAAAAAACAAAAACATGGGGAGTGAAAAAAGGTGTGTAGTAGAAATGTTTAGTGC